CTCTTTATTTAGTATGGAAGTCAAAGTTCACGTAGTAAATTAAATGTAGATGACTAAATCTTTTTAGGGTTTTAAGTTGCCATAGATAAGTTTTGATAACTGGAATCCCAATTCCAAATCTAGAGTAGGTAATCTAAGTTAAAATTAATTCTACTAAATTTCTACAAAATCATGTCCATGCCAGTCTCTAGGCTTGTCTGGCACAACTCTAAAACCACGGGAGTGACTGCAGTGAGGCCGGCTGTCTCAATCATCTTTCAAGTCACTGCTTGTCCGCATCTCATCTGTAATAAATCTGCCAAGCTCTGCTTGACGAAGGAATCAGCACTAGAAAACATATATATATATATATTTCATCTTTTCTAGGTTTGTATGAAGTCATGGCAAACATAGCAGCTGAACAGTGAACCACAGATTAAAAAACACTCCAGTAACATTTTCATTCCTACATAATCAGGTTCTTCAGCTACACCAAGAGACAAAGGTGTCCTTGGAAAACTCACACTGAACATAGCAAATGCTTCAGCAAAAAAGACACTTCCTTGCTGCTCCAATAAGCAAATCCCTGCAGTAGCAGGAGAAAAAACAAAAACAACACACATTAGGGAATGCACAGGGAAGTGCTCACAGTAGCAGTTTAAGAAAAACTGGAGTTAGCACCAGTTCATCATTGTATCAAGTGGAGAACAGGACCTTCCATGCACAGCAAATTCAGACCATCAGGGAAAAAAGCTAATGGCAAAAAGCTACAAAGTAAGATGGAGTAAAGGGAGAGAAGAAAGTCTGAACTGGAGGTCAACAATAATGCAGCTCTGAGAAAAAAAAAGCAGCAAACAACATCAGGACAGAAGAAATCTAGGGACACCATCTATATACATATATTTGCTATTTTCCAAATCATAAGCAGTAGCATATACCATTTCAGCAGCATTTCTACCTCACTCTTCCAGCTATCAAGATAAGTGATTGAAACAAAAATAGATTTATTGTTTACCTTTGGAAATATGGCAGATAATAAAAAAACATTTTGTAACTTTAATCAGTTTCACTGTATTAAAAAAAATGCTAATGCTGCTAATCTGCAGCGCAGAAATTTGACCCAGGGAGCATAGATATAACAGTGAAAAACCAAAGAGGAAAGAGAAACAATCAAAATTTACACAAGTGACCTTGAGTACTGGTAGCCGACTTCGCACAGTTTACCGAACAACAATCTGCAGGACTAGAAGGTCTTTACAGCTAGTCCCTGGAACTGCATTAAACAGAATATTCAAAGTCTAACCTAGGTACACTGGAAAATGTGACTCAAGGGTAGGTAGGAGATTTCATTGGCCTCAGAAGTGCTGGAACCATGGGCCTAAAAGTCTTCTTTTTCATAAGATACAAAACCCACAGCAGCCCAAATCTCAGGGCACACAGGACCAGTTCAGGCTCCGAAACTAGTGCTAGCTTGAAGCTAATGACACTGAAGCTTACTTCTTTAAGGGAAAATTCTCAAATACTGCTAAGCACAAGGTGAAGCCTAACACAACCTACTCACATCTGTCTTCTCCCCAAATTTTAAAGAGCATCTCTCTCAAAATTAGCTCCTATCACTGCATTCTGAGTGTTACTTCTACTAGGCTCGATGTAGGATGAACTGCAGAGCTGTAAAGGGCACAGGACAATTGGGGAAGGTGGGCAAGGAGCCGCTGTGCTGCTTGATTTCTGCAGGAAACAGAAATGCAGACACATATTAACCATGAAAGAGGTCTCTCCCATGACAATGCATGCCTGTATATATATGTATATTCCAAAACATTTATTATTTCCTCCCGGGCAGGTGGGGCTTGTTAGCCCTTAAAGGCAACCCGCCTACGTCCTAAGGACCTCGCTGCCACCGTCCAAGCTCGCTTGGCCCCGGCAGATGAACCTTAGGATTAAAGGGTGGGCTCAGTTCCGCGCACGCTGTGTCTCACCTAAAAAATCCAATGCACAGGCTGGAAGGTGTAAAGACCTTCCCCGGATCTTCGCTCGCGAAGACTGGCCATTATTATTATTATTATTATTTCCTGGAGACATCAAGGAGATCACACTTCACCTACAGAAAGCACCAGCACTATTTCCAAAACTAGACTTATCAGTGCTGTTTTTGTGAATCACAGAAATAAAAAGCTGTCCTGCTGCTTACTCGTGTGTATCAGCAAACCACATGAGTGCACAACCTCCGCTCTCCAGGTGGCTGCAGTGACAAGACTGACAGTGCCAGCTGCACAGCATTCCAGGATCTCTTGTCTCCAGGAGCACGACCACTGGTGGGGGTGGGAACAAACCAGCCACAACTAAGTTAATTCTGAGATAAACCCCACTAAAAGGGGCAAAAGCTGAAGATTCCAAACTGCTTTCAAAAATCATCCAGGGGTAACTATTCTTCCTCAGGATCGAGATACCATAACTTGTTAAGATCACATTCCAGCACATCAAACAGCACACAGGGCACTATAGATTAGTGATGTACTGATGCTATCCAGTTACTCTACTACTAATACAAAAAAAACCCCAAAAAATCAAACGCAAAGACCCACCAAAAGCCAAAAGAGAGCCAAGAGTTCCAGAACTACCTAAAATCAAATACTGTTCAAATACACGTGATTATCAGAAATAACATCCACTGCTGAGGCTGTCCTAATTGATTTACAAGTCTGATTTAATTTTTCAACAGATCAAAGAAATGACCTCTGCCTACAGATATATTTAAGCTGGAAAAAACCCACCAAAACCCAACTACAACAGAAACGGAAACACACCAGGAACGAAAAGTTTTATCTTTGAAAAGACATTATCCTCTCAACTTTAAATCAAGGGAAGAAAGAAGAAAAGAAACATCCCATTAAAAAATTTCGAATAGTGCAGAAAAGACAAGGCTGTCCAGTCACGATATAAATACTACAAAACCAAATCGCAAGCTTACAGATTGCTGCCAAGCAAAAAAACCCCAAGATACTTAAAACGACAATTAAGGAATATTCACTGTACCCATTTGTAAAAAAGGTACCACAGCTGTTAAAAGTAAAGCTTTAAGGTGCTGTCTTCATCTTTACAGGCAGTAACAACCGAATTTCTCTCAAAACACGGCGTAAGTATTCCGCATATTTTTAAAAGAGAGAAACAGCACATTTGGGTGGAGAAGATGTCACAGTTTTACAAAAGCGCCTGTAAGGCTGAGGACAGCAGGCCCAGACTCGGCCTCTCCTCCAGCGCAGCCCCCTCAGGCCCGGGCCGCCCCCTCTCCCCGCAAGGCCGGGCATCACACGGCCCGGCCCGGCCCCGCCCGGCCGGGGGAAGCACTCCTGGGCCCTCACCACCCCTGCGGGCCCAGCGTGAAGCCCATTCCCCCCCCACAGCTCCGCGGCGAGAGGCGCTACATGTTCACCTCCTGCGGGCTGCGGCCGCTTCGCCTTCTCCCCCTCGGCTCTGCCGTCCGCCATTTTCCCCCGCCTCCGCCGCCGCACGCGCCGCGCACGCGCAGCGCGCCGGCCCCGCCCCTCCGCGGGGCCCCGCCCCTGCGGCGCGCGGGCACGGCGCGGCGGGAACGCGGGAGCGCGCGCGCGTGCGCGCGAACCCGGGTGAGCACCGCTCCTCTTCCCTTCCCTCTGCTCCTCTTCCCTCCCCCTTCCCTTCCCTCCTCTTCCTCACACGGGCAGCGCCAGCCCCCGGCACCGCCCGCTGAGCCGCTGCGTCACGGCGATGGGGAGGGACCGCGGCCCCCGCCGCGCGTGGTTTGGCGATTACGGTGTGACCTCGTTACCTCATCAGGGTGTACGGAGGGCGGGGGAGGGAAGTGCCAAGAGGATGGAGCCAGGCTCTTCTCGGCGATGCCAAGCAGTAGGACAGGAGGCGACGGGCAGAAACTGAAGTTCCAGTTCCTTTACTGTGCCCGTGACTGTGCACTGGGACATTGCCCTGAGAGGGTGAGGAGTCTCCCTCACTGCAGATATTCAAGAACCATCGGGACACAATCCTGTGCTCTAGGATGACCCTGCCTGAGCACGGAGGTTGGACCAGATGACCCACTGTGGTCCCTCCCGACCGGCCCCGTTCTGTGATTCTGTGACTGTAACACGAGCTCAAGGGAGCAGTGACACCATTTGCCCTCCCCAGTGTGCAGACTTAGTCACAGAATAGGCTCTATGGCAAACAGCAAATGACAGGAGGGACGTGGTACTCAGCCCACAACAGGGCGTTGGAACTTCTTTAAGGCCCCTTGTAGCCCAAACCATTCCATCTTTCTATGACACTCAGCAGCTCCATGTTGTCTCTTCCTCCTGTGAGGAAAGAGGCTACCCGAGTGTGGCACAGACACTTACACAGCCTGTCCTTGCACCTGAGGGCTTCACGGGGAGCTGAGGGCAGCTCTCAAGCAGCACTTGAAACGCCACCCTAGGGTGAAGCTTTGCGTACCGTCCAACCATAGACAGCTGAAAGGAACCAGGTCTTTCCCTGAGCCAGGGGTTATCCATGCCTGGAGACCCCTGTGCCTCACAGGCAGCAAGGGGCAGTACTGGGGTAGAGAATCTTCTGCCTTCCAACCCTCCCCTCGAAATGAGGTGTATGTACCAAGAGGTGAGACAGGGAGTGCACACCACCAACCCCTGGTATGTTTGAAGTCTACTCTGTGAAATTATACTCCCCTCTCCTAGCTGTTTTTATTTTCAGGACCAAACCCACCACCTGCCATCACTGACTTCAACCATAATTAGTCAACTAGACTAAATTAAAAATTTAAGCAACCCCTTAAAACTTTCCTCATGCTCCAGGCAGTCTCTCCTCCTGAAATACTAATAGGACTTTTTTTCACCTCTGAAGTTCCAGCACTTTGGGAAATCTACATTACCTGGCCTGAAAACACTCAGGGATAAAGGCTTTTTTTTTTTTTTTTTTTTTTTTTATGGTCAAGAAGTTTGACTTATTCCTTTCAATCAAGAACTTGATTTGTGCCAGATACAACATCTAAAAATAGATTGTGCAGCTCCCCAGACTCAAGCAAGGTTTTAGACATTTGTTTTTAGTTCATCAACCAAAAGTCAATGCATCTGCACACCAAAAGAGGATCCAGGAGGTAATGGGGAGGTCTCTTCTACTTCATATTAGTAGTCTTACAGCATAAAACTATAGACAGCCTCCAACCACTGCAAACCCAAAGCAGGGGAGTGTTCTCCAAAGAATGACCTTTACATTCAGTTACAATCACCCTTGTCCCAGCATGGTTCAACAGAACAGACTGATATTCTTTGTGCAGAGTAATTTTTTTAGAACATATCTCATTTATCTTACATAATTTCAGTAATATGTGAATAAATTTAAACAGCTGGACTACTACAGTAATTTTTAAAAAAAAGGCAACCCTAACAGCAGTCATTTCAAACTTAAGCAACAAAGACATGTTTTGAGATAAAGAGCTGAAGAGAGTTTTAAATGTCCCCAAAAAATGGAACATTAAAGGGCACAGTTTGCCCATTAAAAAAAAAAAATCCTTCTCTTTCCCATCACTCTACTTTTGTTTTAGTTTATACTTCTTAGGGTAGTTCTTGGCAAACTGCTTTTGTACTTCTTCCCGCCTCTTTCCAAGTTTAAGTGTGTTCACCAGGTCTAAGGTCTTTTTCAGTTCGCTTACAGGCTTGCTTACAAAGCCACAATATTTCCTTTTCGGAACAAACTCCAGAGCCTTCTTCCAGTCGGCAGTATCTTTCAAGGTTAATAAAATTTGCATCATTTGATCCAGTGTAAGGTTTTTGGCCCCAGTATTCCAAAGCAAGTATTTATCCAGCGGAAGGGCTGCAGTCTCCAATCCCAGTCGCTTCGCCCGTGCTAAAGAGACTCCTGTTTTTATGCTCTTGTCAACCATTGACCCGACAATGTAGATTTTGTCGTGATCAAATGTCTTCATCACTTTGGGAGAATCAGCCGTCAGATAGATGAGCTTATCCTTCGGAAAGACTTCTGTGTAGCACTGCTCAGTCACAGTGATAAGCAGCCTGCCCCATGCCTCTTTATAATGCTTAAGAAATTCCCTATGGTAGAGGCTATCATCCTTGAAGTTACAGAAGTGGATGTGGAATGGATCCACAGCCCTCCGGTTGCAGCCTTCGCTCTGGACCAGCTGTTTCACTGTGTTTGCAACTTCTCGGACAGACATGTCTTTTTCGTAAGACATGTCAAACACCAGAGGCTGGCCAAAGATCATGGACTGAGCAGCCCTCCAATTGTAGGCTTTATCCATAGTGCTGGTCCACAAAGATAAAAATGGACTCTTTTTAGTCTCATCCGTTTTTGAAGTTTGCTCTTGTGCTTCCAGCCTCCTTTCCCTTTTCTCTTCCATCTTTCTTTTGTCATTCTTCTTGTGAAGTTCTTTGAGATACAAATACTTTAAATACTTCTTTTTGGCTGACTTGGAAGGACACTCCATAAACGTTTTTAGCTGTTCTTCACTGACATGTTCTGGAACTAATTTGCCAGCTAGTCTCCACATCTCCAAAGTCTCACGTGCACCAGCCAAACTGGAAAGCTCCTGAGGCTCAGAGACCGTCTCACTGACCTCTTCTTGCAGCCCAGACTTCATTACCTTCTTCCATGCATCTAAATCTAGTTTTTCTGAGGGTTTGCAGGAGTTGTCCTGCTTAAGACAAAGTGATAAACTTAGAGTTCTACTGAGTGGAAACAAATCCCTTTTCATCCCATGTTGTGCAGCAACAGGAAGGACAGAACTTCTTACTATTTTTTTCAGAAGCATATTTGCAGACTGCATACTTAGACATGTGCTGCGTTCAAACACTTTTCTGCAAAACACCAATAAGAGGGGAAAAAAACTTTTCAGAAATCACAAAGGAAACATGCACTGATTTTTATTCTTAGTAACACAGACAATAGCTTAATTCTTAGGGAATACTAGAAACTCCTACTTCCACTATTACTTTTTTTTACTGTTTCCTAAATAAAAACAGTATGTGTGGCACTGCTGCTTGGAACAGCTGTACTTACTGCAATTCAAAATGTGGTCAAACAACCTCCAAGTACTGTCCAAGATCTGTACCAAGTTTTCTGTACCATATGATGAGTAGGAGCCTTTTCAACCAAAGTCAGGGAAATGCTGCATGGACACCGGAAATATTTTTATACACCAAATTTATCTATGCTGTGAAAAGAGAAAGAAGAGATGGAAGAATAAACAACTAGTATACAAAAGGGCCATCTTTCTTCTTTTTACTAAACTGCCTGTGAAGTTTGCATTGGCACATAAAGCTAAGGAGATAAACCCCACAGCCCCATTAATTTCATACATATTTGTATTTAAATGTGAAAGGTCCGCAAAAAAACCAAAAAAACACCCAAGAATGTTTAATATTTTCTTTGTCCTACTGAACTAAAATTAGTGAAGTTTCAATGCTTGAAAAACCTCGATTTGGACAAAACTAAAATTAGCTCCAAATTTTGCAAACAAAATTCATGATCTCTCTAATAACCTGAAAATAATCTGATATACAGAAGAACAAGTTAAATCTAATTTTGGGGTTATATATATGTACCTGCTCAGATGAGGCACAGAAAGAGCTGTGTATTAAATGTGACACAACCTGGCCTGGTTTTACTATACAGTAACTGGTCAAACTGCTTAACAACTTTTCATTTTCTACTGTTCTTAAGATGAAAGGAACAAAAACAAACAACCAACCTAACAATATCAAGGTCCAGAAGTGTTACTATAGAGGTGTTCCTAGTTTTATATTTCAGCATTAAACCTACTGGCAAAAGTAATAATCAAAGAAGTATAGTGTCCAGCTTGGAGAAATCAAGCGATAGTTCCTCAGTTACCTTACATTACTGGAGCCCCAAGTAAATCAATATTTGAACGCCAGATTTACACAATCAGAACACTTGATGACAGCTTCTGATAGAGCCAAGTTACATTCCAGTGTGTCCAACATTAACATCATTACTGCAAGAATAATCTAAACCTCTTTGAAGGTTTAGATTTCTTCTCTTTGAAGAACCTAGATTTGTAACACTTAAAAGGATTTTTTCTTTTTTTAGCATGGCTTCACCATAACCAATCTCAGGCACAGAAAGGCCCTTTCACTGATAATTCAGAGACTGAATAACTCTCCTCACTTCCCCAGCACAGTTGCCCACACACGGAATCACAGCCTGGGACAGGTTGGAAGGGATCACAGTGGGTCATCTGATCCAACCTCCCTGCTCAGGCAGCGTCATCCCAGAGCACATGGCACAGGATTGTGTCCGGATGGTTCTGGAGTAAATCCAGTGAGGGACACTCCTCACCCTCTCAGGGCAACCTGTTCCAGCCCGTGGTCACTCACACAGTAAAGCAGCTATTCCTCATATCCAAGAGGAACTTCCTGTGCATCAGTTTCTGCCCACTGCCTTTTGTCCTATTGTTTGGCACCACCGAGCGGAGCCTGGCTCCGTCCTCTAGGAGCCCCCTCTTTAGCTGTTCATGCCCATTAACGAGGCTGCCCGCAGGGGGACACGCCAGGCCAGGCACGCAGCCACGCGGCTCTTCCACAGCAGCACCACCCGCTGCTGAACAACTCCTAAACCAACCACGACCCCCGAGACATTACCCACGCCAGGTCACCCTCCGAAGCCCCGCTGTGCCCTCTCCCCTCCCCGGGACACCGGCGCGCCCTCCCCGCGCTGGGCGGGACCCGCGGGCACCGCGGCCTCGGGGGCACCGACAAACACCTGCCCGAGCTCCGGTCGCGCTCCCCCCGCCCGAGCCCCGTCGGGGCAGGCCGGGCACACCCCGGCTCCGGGCGCACCCCGGCTCTGGGCACACCCTGGCTGTGGGCGCACCCCGGCTGTGGGCACACCCCGGCTGCGGGCACACCCCGGCTCCGGGCGCACCCCGGCTCCGGGCGCACCCCGGCTCCGGGCGCACCCCGCGGTCACGGCGGGCCCTGGAGCCGCTCCGGCCTCGCCGCCATCCCCGCTCACCTCGCGGCGCCTGCGCGGGGCTGGCCGGGCCGGCACGGTGCCGTGTCCCCGGCCTTCCGCCGCGCCCCCGGCTGCGCACCCAGCGTTCCGGGCTCCCTTCGCCCCCTCGGCGGGGCCTGCGGCGTCCGGTGATCCCGGCTTTTCCATGTTCCATCCCGGGGCCGCGATGGGGTCCTGATGCGGGGCAGGGTCTGGCCCTGACGCCGCGCTGGCCTGGGACTGGGACTGGGGCTGGGACTGGGGCTGGGGCGTGAGGCAAACGCTGGGGCCCGAGGGGTCTGTCAGCTCGGTGTGGTGGTTCCTGATTTCCTTTCCTTTCTCCTTGTCTGCCCCTCTCCCTCTCCCCCTCTCTCCCGAGTCTCCCTCTCTCTCTTTTTTTTTTTTTTAAACTTTTTTGATTTAATACCGCGGAGAAGTTTCGCTTATTTGTGTCCCAGGTGGTGGTGGTGGTGGTTTGATGGTGCGTTGTTTTGGTTTTCTGTTGTTCCACCTCAGCTGTCAGGTGGGGATTTAACTGGAAGCGGTGATCTGTCGCGATGAGTTTTCTGCTGCCCAAACTGACCTCGAAGAGGGAAGTGGATCAGGCAATAAAAGGTGTGGCCGAGAAGGTTTTGGTTCTCCGTTTTGGAAGAGATAGTGATGCTGTTTGTCTGCAGCTCGATGATATTGTAAGAGTAATTTTTTTATTTATTTATTTAATGAACTCCACAAATACAGCTATTGCGTACAAGGGAATATCATATGTTGCCTTTGGCTAGTATGGTGTCTCAGGAAAAACTTGTTGACATTAAGTGTAGAATGAAATTATACTATATTCATAAAAAGGCTTGAAAAGTAAGTAAATGTTTGTGTTATTGTTGTAGTGGGTGTAAAAAGTGTTTGAGGGAGTCTACAAGACATGATATTCTAGCCCTGCTTAGACCGATAAAACATAAGAGAAATGGGCTTTATCAAGCTTGCCAGCCTCTTTTCCTCTTCTGTCTCAGTCCATTTGTCATGCACTTTTCTCACTCTCTTCAGCTTGCAAAAACAGCTCATGACCTAAGTAAAATGGCAGTCATTTACCTGGTGGATGTGAACAAGGTCCCAGTGTACACCCAGTATTTTGACATCAGTTACATTCCATCTACTGTGTTTTTCTTCAATGGACAACACATAAAGGTTGATTATGGGTGAGTCATCCTACCTGGCATTATTTGTTACGACTGTAAGAATGATCAGTCTTGCTCTGTTACCATGGGAAGGTAACGTGTGAAACCTATAATGTTGTTACCAGCATCTGCAGTGGGAACCCTGTAGGAAGCCAGAAGGATGTAAAATAGAGAAGCATTTTGAAATACGCTCTGATGCAATAAGTGGGCGTTGACTGTCAAATGTGACTGACTCTGCAAAAAACAGTAAAAGAATGGTTAAAGTCTGAGATGTGACACTGCACCTGTTTGAGCATTGGAGGTCCCCAGTATATTCCTGACTTGGTTGTGGCATTACCAGGTGGTTCATTCTTTCAGAATGACCAGATCAAAACCCCTTATGTTGTCATACATATTTTCATGTCTTTGGGTGGGTTTGCTTTGAACACTTTACCATTATAATTCTACCTTTATCTTATGCTTATATTTATTTAGGTCTCCAGATCATACCAAATTTGTAGGAAGCTTCAAAACAAAGCAAGACTTTATAGATCTGATTGAAGTGATCTACCGTGGAGCAATGCGTGGAAAGCTCATCGTGAGAAGTCCTATTGATCCCAATAACATTCCTAAATACGACCTTCTCTACCAAGGAATTTAATGGGTTGACCTGAGGTAAAGAATTACAGAAATGGACGATGTTCTAGATGCTTTTTTCTTCACCTCTGACACGGTGGGACAGTTTTGAGCATTTATGCTGAAGGATCATATTGGTCTCCTTCTGAAGACAGACATTCTGTCACCTCATGCTTCTCTCATAAATAAAGCTTCATGTTCTTGCATAGAGTTCACACAAGTGACTGTTCTTTGAATTTCACGCTGCCCAGCCCCTATAGAACAGGCAGGTTGTGTATCCTCAACCACAGCACTGCCACTGCAACCTTCTGAAGTAAACCAAGGCACTGTATAGTCTATTAGGTGTCTATTCTGTACCATTTTCATTCATATGTAATAACAGTAAACCTTACTTTATCAGAGAAGCTGTCTTTGCTCTCAAGAGCATTCAACTAACTGTGCCTTTCCAACAGAATTTTCTACTTTTACCCATGCTGGATAACAGGACAGAAGCTCCTTCCAACAGTATTAGAGATGACTGAAATCTGAAATGGATATAAACACAAAAGGGAGGTTGATCTTGTTCTCGAGTATTACTGTTCAATAGTTTTTTTGACTGAGATGGGAACCTACTACTACACTTGGAGGAGAAGGTTTTGCCATCCTCCAAAGCTCTTTTGCAGCCACTGAACACTTAATTCCCACAGGCTTAAACTGGAAATTCAGAATTCATTTGTTTGTTTACATTCACTTTACATATTATTTGAACTTCTGCTTTTATACATTGCAAACCTGAGTATGTACATTTAAAAACTGTCTCTGTGTAAGATTAAACAGCTGAGTGGAAACAGCAGTGTCATTCTTTTGCATCAGTTTGGTAACTGCAGGCTGCTAGAGTACTGTATTTTTATATCAGCTCACGTCCAGTGTTCTCACAGGCCTAGTTGGCTTTAAATGGAAATTACTTCAGCTCACTGTGTCATGTTTGGGGCAGACCAACTCTGACTGGAGGGAAGGTAGTAGTATGTAGTTCCCTGAAGTACTGTTCAACTTAACAGTAAATATTTCAAGAAAGAAGGTGAATGCCCTGGCTCTCGAAAGATTTTAAGCAATGTATGGTACATAGCGAGGAGGAAACAGACTGTTTACATGTTTTTTCTGTTCCAGATTTGTCCTTTTAATGAAGCTAGTCACTTAAGCAAGTGTTTTACTGCTAGCTTAGTCTGATTATAGAGCCATAACTATAGAGTGTTTATTTTTAAAAATTACACAGTTGAGAGTTGATATGCCTTAACATCTTTATTATGTTCAACTTTAAATTTCACAGCTAGCCAAAGGGTTGTGCCTTAAAGCTTTCAATAACGCATTTCTTTCCTTATAGTTAACTTTTGTGGAGTTTTTATCAAAACCAAACAAATTAACTTCAAACTTAGAACTCTTAAGTTGCTCCACAGTGAGATGAAGGTTCTTAGATGATTGAAAGGTGTAGAGGCAGTTATGAAAGGACTATCACTATCAAGAACAAACCAGTGTGCCTTTATTTACTGGCTCTCTTCTTCCTTGTGCTGCTTCTGGTTTCAACTGGGGACTGCCTAAAAGCTGTTACGGTCTTAGCTTTCAGGGAGCTCTTCAAGTACTTAAAGATGGCATGGAGACAGCAGGAGGGTGCTAAACCACACTTTTCCGTTCCAGCAGAGACAGTGGGACAATTTGTTCTCAAGAGAAAGTCCACAGTCTTATTTAGAGGTTTACTGTTTGACACCCACTCGCGGCACCATTTCAGTATCCATTCCTGTATCTGTGGATTGTTCCTGGTCTGGTGCTGTGTGTTGTGCACAGAGTCAATGAAGGCCACAGAGAACACTTTATTCATCACCTCGCATTTTCTCTGCACCAGCAAATCAACAAACACCAACCCACCGTAGCCATGGGCAATGAAGGCCACGTTCTTGGCTGCACTCTTTGAAATGAAGTGATCCCACACGTACATGGTGTGCTCCTCGGGGCTGCTGCTGCCCCTCTTGGGGATCCACCAGACAGACTGTGTAAAAGTAACTGCTTCTTCCCTGATAGAAAAGTGCTGCTTTTCAGTCTTCAGGTCCGTGAAGTTGTCATTGGGATTCAGTACAATCACTTCCCAGCAGCTCTGAAGGGCCATTTTGATGAACGGTATTTGTGTTCCATGGCTCAGGCCCTCACTGACAATTGTCTTTTGCCCCCACTGTCCAGCACGGAAAACTCCACGGTCTTGAAGAAGGATAATGAGGCTAGAGGAACTTGTTAGTGCATTCTTACTCATGAAAAAGAAACTTCTTGGTTCATCCTCTGTAGCATCAGTAGGAATATAAACCTTCTGTAGCGTGCAGACCCTTTCCAGGAGCTCATAAACATACTGGGTAATAAAATGTCCCAGCACCTCATAGCGTTTATGATTCTGCTCAAATCCACTCTTGTAATAATTGAAAGCAAAGGACTCGTTTGTATCCAGATGCCTCAGTTCCCCTTTTATATTGAAGTCATATTTCAAATCCTCTTGATACTCTGAACCCTCTATGAGTTTCCTCAGGCTGAGTTCATGCTGTATTTGTAACCACTACAAATAAGGAAGACTATGTCAATGTGGTGATAGACCACCACACAACACCTGCCAAACCCCACCCTCCCCCCATTGTATTAGAATTCAGATTTAAAAGTAGTTACAAACAAAATACTTGTTGATCCAGATTCTCTCTTGGTGATGTGTAGTAAATCAGCTACTTGTAAAGTCTTTTAAGAAATTTCAGTTGCTGATTTCCAACAGCAGTAACATATCTGCTTTTATTTAATGCCTTGATTTCAGTTTTCTAGTTAAAGTTTGTAAGCTAGTATGTTTATTTAAAGATCTTTCTAAGCTAGTTTGAATTAAAGGCCTTAAGAAGGAGGTTTGTGTACATGGTTCATTGTTCATTTTAACAGCTCTTCTATCGTGCTGTCTCCTAGCCATTATCTTGAAACTCTGCCGAGTTTCAAGGCTGCCTTTGAAGTACATGCCTTGTCAGTTGGAAGTAGTCCCAGGTGTCTTACTGGATCCTAAATTTTTAAGGAAAATCAAGCTGCATCTACTAAGGACTTCAACCTTCACATTGCTTGTGTACCAGCACACTCTCCATGTTTTACCTTCAGACTGGACTAGCATAGATAATGCATATATGTGTTTGCTTTTTACTCATTGCTCCGGTTATTCATTCATCATTGCAAGCACTTGCCACATGGACAGGAATGGATGGCAGAATAAGCTAGACACTGTGATCCAGAAACAGGAGAGAACAAAATCCACGCAGCAAACTGTCACGAGGTTGGATTGAGGTCTCTGGTTTCAGATTATCTCCAGTAACTGATATGAAATATATAAACTTATCATAACTTTCTATTTTCCTAATAATTGCTTCAGTCTGTTCTGTCAGTGCCTGTAGAATGCCAAACAGGCCATAATCTTTGATGTGGTTAGAATCCTACCTTTACAGGAGTTTTTTCCTGACACGGAAATATTAATATTTTTATATGTTTTACATTGTTACATTTGTCAAGTTAATTGGTACAAGCTACTCTATACCTTTAAGTTTTTCTTGCTGAACTAACAGAGGTTTTTAGAACACAGTAAATCACTTCTGTGTTAAAACTCACTATACCATCTGAAAAAGCCAATTACTAGGACAAAAAGTGATCTGAGTATTTCCATGTAAGGGTCTTGAATTGGAGCCCAACTTCTTCAAGGAATGCAAGTTTCCCTGAGTAAACTGCTTAGCATATTGAAAATTATTCCTTACACATCCAAATTTTTAAAAGTTTTTAGCTTTTCAACATAGCAACACCACATACATTTTCCTTTTGAGCAATCTCCATTGGGTTAGTAATGTTCAGTCCTCTCTTCAGGATCATTCCAGTCTTCTGATTAATAGAGAGCAGGCTAGAAAATGGTACCTTCTCTTTTTATCTCATATAATCAGTACACATAGAAAAGGAGGGAAAACCACATTCTAAGATGCATAATCCACTTACTGTCTTACCAGTTGCTTGAAAAGGAAACAGCACAAAGAAATTGCAAATGCACATGTTCATCTATGGTTTTTTAATTCTGCAGGAAGGCACGAAAGACAAAGGAGATGGGAGAACAGTCTTTTTGCTATAGTACTGAACTGTGGGCAATTCATAGAAAAGAGAACATATTTAGTAGGGAAGAGGCTATGCATATTCATGTTTTTGCCATGTGATGAAGTGGGAGAAAAATTGACATATTTTAAGGGAAAATGTCTGTGGATAAAGGTGAAGCATTCTATAAAAATTATAAATAGATAAATGCAGTTTCCTTACAGAGTGGCATGCTGTGGAGCACTTCTCAGTCCCTTTCTCTCCCTAAAACATTGGAGACTAATTTCCCAACTTACTATGAACAGAAAGTTACTATTCTCTTACTTCAGCTACTAACAACAACATTGCTTTTTCTGTTCCAAAACAAGGATATGTGATTCCAAATTAAACCTTATGTATGTAATATTGATCATCTACTTTACCAAGCATTGTGAAAGATTCCTGAAGATTTCAGGAGGCAGAAACACACACAAGAGAAGTTTTACATGAGGTGTATGTACTATTCCCCTTCCTAAAATTGCCTTCAAATTGAAATGAAAAGTTTTGAAGCAATTTATATTAGGTTATCACTTAAGAGTTTACTTGAATAGCAGCTTAGAATCATACACTTATTAGTCCAGAGGTGTAGTAATGCCATTTATAGAATTTAAAAAATAGCAAATAGCTATAGAATTAATAGGTAACAATTACAGATTGTTCTAGATAAAGCTAAATAATGCATGTATTTCATTTTGCTAATTCTGCAATCTAAATCACTGTTGATTGCTACTCGTGCTTCATCGTCTATATGTAGATGCAATATTCAAGGTTCTGACAGCCTTTACAATTGCTGCCTTACTTTTAAAAAAATTACTGTTGGGAGGAAAAAATAATCAACTCTTTTCCCTCCTCCCACATTTCTGTTTGGATTTTAAAATGCTTCAGCTGTAAATTCAGCTAGTGTTTGTTACAGCAGTTGGCATATTCTAAACACTACTGCAGTGTAAGTACTACTCTTTATGAGATCTGTAAAGATTCTTTTTTTCTCCTTTAAAAACCACTTTATTAAAGCCCAACATTACCGTATGCTCTCCTGTAAAATCTGTCATCATCATAGATGGAAATCTTTTTCTCTCTGGGAGTGTAGACAAGTCCTCTGCATGAAAGAAAATAAACGCATCACAGTTTCAGGTTTCAATACTTTATATACTGGGGTGTATATCTATCGGTATATCTCTATATATGTATATATATATCGGTATATACTGGGGTGTGTATCTATCTATCGGTAGCTGATAGTTAGGGCCATCTAAACTGCTCCAGATAGTTCCAAGTTACAAGCTAACACCCTTCGTTTGTAATTTACACCTAAGCTAAAGCTAAAACCTCTTGTGAGGCTAAACACTTGTCCAAACCAGTTTTGTTTCCCACTACCCAAGAGGACAAACCAGAAAACTACATACACAAAACTTACAATTCTGAAGCTGCCCTGAAAAAAACACAAAACCCTACGCCCCCCCCCCCCAAAAAAAAAAAAAAAAAAAACCCCAACAAAAAAAAAACAAAAACAAAAATCCAACCAGTAAATCTTTGCCTCTTGTTGGCTGCTAGGAGGATTTCCCAGGCCATCGGCTGCAAAGCACGGCCACAGCCGGGTTTATAAAGCAGCCGAGCTCCCCGGTAGGGGATTAACCCCCTGCTGGGGTCTGGCCGCCAGCTGAGGGAGACCTGGTTAGCAGTAGGCAATCTAAACCTGCCTCGGGGTGGGTTCTCTATTGCTCCTTTAAAAACAATGAGGTTTTCTCCCCCGACCGGCTCAGCACCGAGCTAAACCCCCAAGTTGAAGCCCGGCGCGGCTGAGGGGCAGCGCCCCGGGGTGGGGCGGGCCCGGCCCCGCGGGGCGGGCAGAGGCGGCGCCCGGCCCGGCCCGGAAGTGCCCGGAGAGCTGCGCAGGCGGCCGGCCCGGGTGAACAGCGGCGGCCGTGGCGGTGAGCGCCCAGGGGGTGTCAGCTCCCAGCCCCTCGGCCGCCGGAGCGGGCACGAAAGCGGGAGCACGGCTGGCAGGCAGCGCCCCGGCGGGCCCGGCGCCGGCCGGCGCGTCTCAGGCGAGCGAGTGAGCGAGTGAAGGCGGCGGGGCAGGACGGGCGGGCGGACGGAGGGCACCGAGGGAGGGTGGCGGTGGCGGTGGCGGCGGCGGCGTTGCCGCTCCTCGGGAAGGAGGCTGAGCAGGGAGTGCGGAGTGGTGGAATTGCCGGCCTAGGCCCTCGGCACTTGTGCGGTTGTCAGAGGGAAGCCCGTTCCTTTCCCAGCGGGAGGAGCCGGCGACGCGCGGTTGGGAGCTGAGGGAAGCGGGGCTTGGGGATCGGGAGCTGAGATAGGGGGTTCGGAACCAGGAGCCAGGCCGGGTCCCTGCGGTGCCAGCCCGGGTGGTGCCTGTGCCCCCCTCTTCCCCGCCCCGAGCTGTCAGGAGGCCGCCGCTTGTCGGCTTTCCCCGTTCGGAACAGGCGGTAGTTTTTCCTGTCAGTCTGTAGATGTTGCTCTTCCTCACGCCGGGGGACTTGAGCTTGTCAGTTGAAAAAAACCGCCAGGTAAATGAAAGTCCCTGAACTTGAAGGGCTTCTTGAGAGACTTAAAAGCGTTATACCTGAGTCATACAGAGTATTTATAAAGAGAAGAAGCACCTACGGAGGCTGAAAGCTCTGAAGCTGTGTTCTTCCACTGATGAAGTTTATAGAACATCGGTAATACTTGAATATAATTTATTCTTGGAGTCCCTGCCCCGCAGTGCTGCAGATGTCTTCTGTGACTCCTTTTCGCTCTATAATCAGAGTGTTAAATGCTTATTAATTGTGTGCTTGTAGAGGGGTTGAAGGAGAGGGGCAGTTAATCATTAAATGGCTTCACTAAAGATAAATTCTAGTGACAATTTCTTTAATGGTTCTGACAATCCAGAACCTTGCCCAAGTGTGTGTGTCTCTTGTATTGTGGCTGTCAGTTACTTTTTACTAAGGCTTGGAATGGCAGGACAGGGGACAACGGTCTTAAACTGAAAGGGGGTAGGTTGGACATGAGCAAGAAATTTTTTTTGTGCTGAGGGAGATGAGATGCTAGAGCGGGTTGCCCAGAGAAGCAGTGGATGCTCCATCCCTGGAAGTGTTCAAGGTTGGGTTGAATGGGCTTTGAGCAGCCTGGCCAAATCAAAGATATCCCTGCCCATGGCAGGAGGGCTGGAGTAGTTGGTCTTTTAAAAGTCCCTTCCAACCCAAGCCATTTTATTAATGTGTTTTCTTTTTGCCAGTTTGCTCAAAAAAGATTTTCTTGTTCTTTTGTAGTACTTACTACTGTGGTCCTGCTTCCCTCTTAATCAGTAAACCTGAAATTGCTATGTTTATTTTGTTTTGTTTTGTTTTTTTTTTCCAGTAGAGAAAATCATGTCAGGAAGAACATCGTCTTCAAGCCATGTCAGTGTAAGTCTTCCTATAAATTACAACAATTTGCAACAATTTATTTCGGGGCTGTGGGTATCCTAGGGCATTCTGATATGTTTGTACAACCAAGTTCATTCTTCAGTGGTCCAACAAAAGCTGGACAGTTTATTGTGGTAGCAGTCAATACTCATGTCTACTGTTGAACATATATTAATACATGATAGGCTTAGCATTTAATTACATATGAACAGGGTGGTTTCAGGGTTATTTTAAGACCTAGGCTAAAATACTAGAGTAAGTAAAGTGAGGTCAAGTAAGTAGAGCAGCTGCACAACTGTGTAATATTTGCTAGTGCTTATTTTTTCTAAAATACGTCAATTAGTAGTACTTTGTAGCAGTGGAAGTACTGGTGAAAACAAATGGTAGGCACAGGGACTGGTTTGATCCAGTAGGGTCTGGACTCTCTAGTGGTGTAGAAATAAGCTGTTTCCAGCACCTTGTTTATGTGCTTTCTCTGACCCTTGTTCCTACAGGTGAAAACCTTCAGAAAAGTACTGCTGGTTTAGATGAGTGCGTATGCACACGTATGTGTTGAGTTAGTCACCTTTTATTTGGGAAAAGGTGAGGCAACTGCATAGGTTGCATTTAGCATAGATTTAGAACTCTGTTTACTTCTCAATTTCGTGATTGTTCTGTAACTTAATTGTGGGCACTGCAAATCAACATCTTCTTAATGAGTGTGAGCATTGAGAAGATGCTGTATGGTGAGCTGGAAATGTTGCTGATGAACGTATCTTGTGCTTTTTATCCCCTTCTGTCAGTCTGTCTCCTGTTCTGAGTCTGACCTTATCTGTTATTAATGTTACCTGTTATGTTATTACAGAGGTTTTCTGAACCTCGTCGCCTTTAAATGCATGTTAAAATTCTAGATAACTATGTGTTCTTAGCAATCTCATAACAGAAATCTGTAGTCAGGCAGCTGGTGGAGTTCTGAAGTAAGAAATTTGTACCTGACCAATAAAGTACAGATCAGAAAAATGCATTCTGACTGATGAACATGTTTATAGGCCACTTCTAAAGGAAAACCAACCAACCAAATTTGAAACAATCTACTTGTAGAAGTCCTTGAGTAAGAAAATGTTTTGTTTCAATCCTTATGTATTGATTGAAAAGGGAGGAAGGTACTTGTATGAGAAGTTGTTCCCTATGCATAACATTTATAATTTTTTTAAAAAATTTATAATTTGAGGAATCTGTTACTAAAGGCATATTTGTTATTACAACCTTTGACCAGCAAAAGCAGTCTGAGGTACTGTATAGAAATGCAAGTCTAATTACAAAAGAACCTAATCTTTGTTTCAAAGAAGGGTAGAGAAGGAATAAAAGCACTCATAATTCAGACTGGAGGACTGAAGTATTATCTCATTATGGTGCAGCGTGCTGCATTATGGTTTGTCTGAAGGACTGCCTAGCGAGCTAATGGATGCAGTTGATGTATGAATTATTAAGTTGTTAGCATTGCTGTTGTAGAATCCCTGCTTGTAATTTCATGTTACAACGTGGGGCGCCTGGTGGCTTGCAAATCAAGTTCATAGTACACTTGACAGCAGCCATCATATGGAGTGACTTCAGCTTTTTCCTGGCTGAGATAGACTCAGTTATCTGAAAGATGGAAATGTTGTGTTTACTCTCTGATTCATTCTCATCCAGTTTTATTTGCAATGTCGGGTTTTGCTTCTCAGGAAACCTAGAGACAGGGCAATGCTTGCACTTTTATTCTTTCAGTTGATATTATTTTAACTGGTTTAGTTACTGATAGGAACTGTCATCCTATTTCCTTGTCTTGATGAACTTAGAAATTTAGTTTGATAATTTTTGGTTTGAATTTCAATGAACAAACCTTATTTCCTACATGTTTTTTTCCTAAATTGGCAAATTTCCACGGATTACTGGTTTTTCTGTCAGTAATTACTTTCAGTACACTGGTTCCATTTCTGCAAAGGTTGGCAATGACCACTTTTAGTACGTTATAGCCTATTGATGCTAAATTATCATATTAAAATGCTAGTACTATTGTAAGATGTAATTGTTCTTCATCCTGAATTTTTTATTTAGTGAGAGCATGGTGTTGACAGTCATGATATTCAGCTATTTTCTTTGCTCTTTATCATTCTCTAAGCTGAAACAACCAGAGTGTAAACAAATCAGAGTGAACTAAGAAAACTGTGTCAGTACATTGTTTGTCACCTTTCAGGCACATGTTCGAAACTGTGAAGTTAATGAAACAGGAAGAGCTTTTTCAGATGGTTCATGTGTTAAAACTAGCTCCTCATGAGGTACGACTCATGATTTGGGATCAAGGATCAATGAGGAATGCATTTAAACTAAAGTCACACATCAGTGCTTTCCTTACAGCTTAGTTTTGCCTGACAGTTAAGAAAACTTTGTACATGGCAGTATGCCAACTCATAGCAACAGGGCATAATTTAGTTTTATCGTGTGTGTAACATCATCTGTTTTCAGTTTCGTATACCAAAGAAGAAAACAAACGCCAAGTCAGAGAATATCCAAGTTCAGTCCCCTTTGGCAAGGCTCCCAGGCTCCCACCATTGGGACTACCCTTTAAAAGAGGTAAAGAGAAGTTCTTCACAGTGTTAAGTGTGAAGGAGAATGTTACATGAGGTTTTGATTCTGTTTTGGAGGCTGGATTTTTCAATACCGAGTGCTGCCTTGGAGAGAGACAGGTGTGTAGGTCTGAAATCTGCCTGCAAGCATTTTTAGAACATTTATAGAAATAGAAGTCTTAGTGCTGTGTTTCCAGCCTAAATCATTGAAAAGCATTGAAAAGTTGGCCTTCAAGTGTAGTTTGAAACGGTCTTAAAAATCTTTAATTTAAAGATATTTATAATAATTTTTTAGTTGTCTTCTGATTCTTGAACTTGTAGGTTATATTCAGATCACATGCTAAACTTTTTGTTACGATATGGAAATAACTTTTACTTTGAGTTTTCAGATAGTAATTGTTTATATTGAAGAGCTTAAACTTTAAGAGAATAAATTGCTAGATCACTTGACAAAATTTTAGGTGCTTATACAGAAATAACATTATTAAGACCAAAAGGCTCTGCCTCTACAAAAACAGTGATTACAATGGATGAATGGAAAAGTACTTCTTTTTCACTTATTATTTCCTGTATGTTGTCTAATTTTCCATTTCTTATTTTTCCTACCTGTGTCTGTATATTTTAGACTTTTCCATGTGGTAGAGGGTTTCATATGCTTTAAATGCTGACTAGTTTTTATATTGTACTTTAAAAGAAAAGCTCACTCTGAGGTATCAGGGTTTGGTCCATGTTATTTGAGGAACTTTGTGGATCTTCGAGTGATTTGGGTGTGGAGGTCTCTAACATGCTTGAACACCAGTGATATGAGGTGAAGTAGATGATGTTTGAAGGCAGGAAGAGGGCAGAACACCTTCAAGGCAATTTCTTGCTGCCAGATTTTTCAGAATGGGGGTATTTTTCGTTAGAGTTAGTCCCTTATAGTAGGGAAAAGCATAATTTGGGTGCACGTTTCAGACTTCACTAAAGTTTGTAAAATGTGTGAGGGTGAATTTTCAGATGCCCTCTTACCCCACAATTAGACAGAAATGAAGATGTCTGCTTTCAACCTGACTGCCATAATTTCCCAGCATCTCTTTGATTTATTATATCTTACATTTAAAAAAAACAAGGAGAGATTAGGGGGAGGTAATGGCAGAGGGAGAGAGGTTTTGGGAATTGCAACAGTAACTGTGTTTTGGTGCAGCTTCATTTATTTAATTTGAAAATATAAGTGCTTTCTGATAAGGTAAGAAAATTTGGAAAAAATGAAATCTTATTGTTAGAAATTTTGCCACCTCAGTACCAAACCTTCAAATTCCTTTTCCTTCTCAGAATTTTGTGTCTTTGTGTGGAATATAATTGGGTTAAATGCGTGGAATTAAAGAAAGCAGAGGCTATCTTGTGTGTTTGTGATTATGTAAAACAGACCTAGTATTTAAATCTCTGTTTGGGATAATCCTTTAAATAGGGAAACAATTGAATTGTCTCGGTTGTCATATTTTTTTTTGGAGAAGAAGGTTCCATTCAGGTTCAGGTGGTATGTGGATGCTTTAAATGAAGCAGATTCATTCTTTTCAAAATTGTTATATATGCTCTTTGTGTCTCTGCTCTATTTGATCAGTTGCATTGTTGCATTTTTTCTATTTTTCTAATGTTATCCATTATGACAAATTCATGACGAAATCTGAACCTTGAAACCTGCCAATTTTATTTGTTTTGTTTCAGTGGAGATTAAGGGCCAGCTACAGAAATCCTTCCACAAAAGGGAGAAGGCAAAGGGACCGTGACAGACACAGCTCTAACGACGAAGAATCAGTTGGGTAAGAAGTCACCTTAAAATTAGTTCCTCTCTTTTCGTATATTCAGAGTTTCACAGTCTATCTTAAAGATGGGCACCTCTGGTCTCTGGTTAGTTTTTTGTGTCATGCCGAGGTGGTTTTCAAGCTGTTGGGTAGCTCACCTTCAGAGAATCATGCTTCACCGATCTCGTGGCGGTCGTAACTTTTTCTTTGTTTCAACACAACACAAGGCTGTGACACTTGAATGGAAGTGCAGCACTTAATAAAGGAATTTCTACCTATTGACCTGCTTGAGATTCTGAAAGGTGTTTGCTCTCTAAGTGCAAATTGTCATTGTAGCTCTAGATATTTTAGGTATTTAAGAAGCTTCCCGGATTATCTTTTGCTTGGCCTTTTTTGCCTTGTTGTCCATACTCATTAACCTAGCTTATCAACTCTTAAAAACAATTTAAAAACCCCTTAAGCAATATGGTGATTAGTAGGGGAAGGCAGTAAAAAAACTAGAGCTTTTTCACCTCTCTGTTACTATCAAGACACCTAAGTAAATAATTCAGACTGCCGATGTGCCACTTCTTTATGCTCTGTTTACAAGAGCAAATATCTTGGTTTCTTTGAGATTATGGCAAATAATTTAAAGTTATCTTCTGAGAAACTGTCAGATAATTGTTTGTCCAAGAGAATTTTGAAGCTGTAAGTGCTGTAGTTGACAAATGGAAATGAAAATACAGAACTAGATTTGTTAGCAGCAGCTAGGAAACATAATGACTTCGTAACGAAATGAATTATGTTTGTCTTAATGAAGCAATTGCTATTCCACAAATCATTCAATTCTAAATCAGTGAATAAGCATTCTCTGCCCTGTTTTCTGACTGCAACTAAACTTGATCGTGAGTGGTTTCTTGTCAGGAGGTGTGGTTAAAGACCCAAGTGCACAGGTAATGAAAAGGCTTAATGGCAGTGCTGAGTTCTGTGGTTTTGTGACCTATGAATAGTCATTGTTTAGCCTGTCTGTATATTCAGAATGCTTCAAAGTGTTGCAGGGAAGAGCTGAAGTTATAAAAGATGCTGAATTTATTTTTTCATACCTCCTCAGAGGCATAGCTGTCAGTTTACATGCAGTTACGTCAAAATGCTGCTGTCAGTTACTTCAACTGAGGGAGCGGCTCACAGGGTCAACGTGGCAGAATTAGCAGCTGTGTTAATTGCAGTGTTCTGAATTTCATTTATGTTGTGACGTGATTGATATCTGATGTCAATCTCTAAAGGTCTTTCAGTTAACTTTGATCTTTCAGCATTGAGGAGGTGTTTTTTCTTTTTAAAGCTACCTTTGATCTATTACATATGGTAATTTTCTGTTACATATGTGTATTTCCATATGTGAGGGACTTTCAGATAGCATTTGTAGGTGTTCCATAATTTTTACCAAAATATTAACCAGCACATTAGTGGGAAATGGTTTAGATTATAAAGAGACAGTAAATATTCAAATATTACACCTGTACATTTTTCACTTCCTCGAAGAAAAGTGTATGTGTAGAGACTAGCTGGAGGTTCTCTGTAAAATGAATTTACTGTCTGCAATGAAACTTGTACTAAGTATTCCATCTGGGTATATCTCCGTAAGTCAAAATTGACACAGTGATCTCATTGCATAAGCAAAAGAGCATAAAGATTCTAAAGAAGTGGTGTTTGTTGAGCAAAAGTCTGAGAACTGACAGAACTCAGAAGAGGAAGGAGTGAAGTTGCATGCTGACAGTCTTTCTGATACAGTAGTTTCTATGTTCTTTCTTCCCAGTGAGGAATTTTTCATTTGCATTGCAAAGCAGCAAATAAGTCCTAATGACAAACTTGTGCTCCTGGTGTTTTAAAAGCGGTCCTCTTTATTGACAGGAGCTAATCCCCAATGTTTAGGAAGACGTGTTTTATTCGAAGTGTTGCTTCAGCATTGTTATTACCACTTGATTTTAATCAGGAAGAACAAAGTGGATATATTAGCACAAACCCACTATCACCTTGTGTTGGTTTTTGTGGGTGTGTTTTGGTTTTTTTTGTTTGGTTTGTTTGTTTTGTTGGTTTTTTCGTTTTATTTTTTTGTTTGTGTTTTGTTGTGTTTGTTATGGGTTGGGGGTTTTTTTGTTTGGTTTTTTTTTAGTTTGGATTACAAAATTTGGTAGTTGATTGCTTCTGTCAGTTGTGCTGTGGTGTGAGACCATGGGGTTTTGTAGCAGCAACTGCAACCACTCTCACTTGTACACTTCTGATTGTGGCCTTGTGAGATGTGACTGTCAGGTGATAGTTTTGTGACCCAGAGAGGGCTCCCAGCGCAGGTTACTTCCCTAGTCCTTTTCATATGCTGGAGTTCTCTTACAAGTTTCTGTGATTCTGTCACAAAACAGAACTGTCACAAAATCTCAGTAGTTCGGTTTATTAGGGTCATCACAGAACGTTAGGTATGGTGTTTCTGTAACTGGTCAATTAGTGTTTTGCATCCCACTTAGATAACTTTTTAGTAATCAAGGAAGTGGGTTAGAAAGACTATTACAAGGGTAGTTATCACTACCTAGAAATAGTGTTTAGAGTTGTCCACTTACTTCAGCTGTATTACTACTGCATTCTCCCAAGAGGGGAATAGAGGTAAATAAAGAAATAATAATTAAAAAATCCACCAAAAAACCCCCAACAAACCACAACCACCCAAAAACCCAAACAAAATGGAACACTGTTCTGAAATTCAAGCTTCTCATCCTGGTCTGTTTTGTTTAGTTTTGTTTTAGGGAGGAGGATGGGAGGAGCACTTAAATAAGACATGTACGATTCTTTCAGCTCAGTATTTGAAATGTTAATTGAAGTACATGTCACAGCTGAATCAAGTACTGACCCCGTAGCAGTCAGGTTTTTGTGGCAGTCATTTACATACTGGTTCCCCTTGCTGTCACAAATGCATTCTGTCAGTAATAACTTCCTGGCCCAGCAAAACAAGGAGGTGTTTAGGGGTGTTCATGTTGGCTGCTTGTTGGTCATTGACTTCTCATCAGTTCGTGAAAGGACTTTGAAGCAGAAAGAGGACAGAGAGAGGCTTTCTCCTCAGTAGGGTGTAGTCAGTGAATGTATCAGTTTTCCATTAATGGTGGTGTATCACGTTACTCTTTTGGGCACTAGAAATTCAAGGACCTATGTGCTGCAGAAGCTCAGGTAGCTGGATACACACCAAGTCTCTCAGTGGCTTTATTCTGTAAACTCAGGAGAGATGTTCAGCTTATATGGGATCTGATGGGGTGACCCTTGAATGGTATGTGACATCTCACTGTCACAAATTTATATTACTAGTAGGTAGAATGTAGGCGTGAAGATAGTGGTGTAGACAATTGATAAATAATTTAGTCCAAAAGGAATCAGTAGCCTCCATGTCTCATTTTGATCACTTTCTAATACAAATTTGAATGAATTGGAGGCAGCAGTTACAACACTGGTGTACACAAATATTGATCATTGTGAAAGGAACTGGATCTAGTGGCTGTGATTATTGTGTGAAATAGAGGTCAAACCTATTCCCCAAGGGGACATAAACAATTAATAGCTTTTTGTCCTGTGCTTTGTAAGGTAGGGTAATCCTTTGTTGCCTGTGAAAAGTGATATGAGACTTGCCAGGAACAGCTAACATCATTTTTCATAATGTTTTTTGTTTATTCCATCATTACATGTGTAAGTACATTTTCATTACCTTTGGGTTTCTATTTTTCCTGTTTTATGGAGGTAATATGGTAGGTGCTTTAGAAACAGAAATAATTGCCTTTGGTTTTCCCTCACCAAGATGCCTCCAGTTTTACTGTTGTGCAGCTTACTTGCTGGGTGTGCTGGTGGAACTTGCTTTTAATGTACACTTTGCTTGCTTTTTTTTACTTGACACTAATTTTTATCTTTTGAAATATCTTTTGCTTGATTTCCAGTAGCTTCATGGGTATGTGTGTGTGCTTGAAATATTAAGATCACTTTTACAAAAGTTCTTGGTTAAAATGTGTAAACCCCATTGAAATCAAGGGAATGGAGACATTACAAATTCAGTGCTGAATAACAGTGATTAAACCAAATTACAGAGGAGCCTGGAACCTAAGGTCTAGCATGACGTGAATGTGAGCAAAGGGTATCAGACCTGAGTTTCCAAAGTGGACAGCAAACTATAGCTGGTGAAATGCTGCTTCTGACTCCTTTACCTCCTGCTGTGGACTGTTTCTATCATCGTGTTGTTTAAACACTCAGTGTTGGAATATTTTCAGGTTCAGTGAGGGGTTATGTGTCTTCTTAACATGGTAAGTAACCAGGGAAAAGAAATCTCAACATGAAGGAAGCAACTATTGAAAGAGCAAAATAAAAGGATTATGTGACGCACCTTACCCAAGTTAATTGTGTTACACTAGCATGGCACTTCGAGATCCTTTTATTTTTAGGTGCAAGCATGTCTGTTGTTCAGCAGTTTTCATGCCATGTGTGTTTATTTGCTGCTAGGTACCACGTAACCAGGCTGCTGAGCTGAATGCAACATGTCAGTGAGACAATTAGATTTGCTTGCACAGTCGTCAACCCACTGAGGAACAGCAACCATTTGCTTAAGAAATGTTGCTGTAGCATGTCTGTAACAGTTATGGGAGTAATAAAAGGTTTTCTCTAGCTATAAGAAGTCTTGCTCTAAGGTGTGAACAATTTTATTTGTTAGGCAAGACATGCAGTAGAAAAAAGCAGTTCTTGCCTCAGTGATCTTTTAGAACCAACAAATTAGCCTGAACTTCAGTGTCCTCTTAGGAGCAACCTTTGGAAAACAAGTCCAGTTCTTGGTGGTTTGAAAATAAAGTAAATCCAGACAAATGATCTATGATCTATAATATTTATCAGCTGATAAGTTAAATAAGACTTAGTGTCGGGGCTGTGCTTGCGTCACAACAACCCCAGGCAGTGCTAAGGGCTGGGGGAGTGGCTGGAAAGCAGCCCAGCAGAAAAGGACCTGGACATGCTGGTTGACAGCCAACTGAACATGAGCCAGCAGTGTGCACTGGTGGCCAAGAAGGCCAGTAGTGGCATCCTGGCCTGGGGCAGCAATAGGGTGGACAGCAGGGCCAGGGCAGTGATTGTCCCTCTGTACTCGGCACTGGTGAGGCTGCACCTCAACTCTTGTGCTCAGTTTTGAGCCCCTCATTGCAAGGAGGGCACTGAGGTGTTGGAGCAAGACCAGGGAACGACAACAAAGCTAGTGAAGTGGTACATGAGTCCCATGGGGAATGGCTGAAGGAGCTGGAGTTTTTCAACCTGGAGAAAAAAAGTCTGAGGGAAGATCTTACTGCTCTCTACAATGACCTGAAAGGAGGTTGTGACAAGGTGGAGCTTGGACTCTTCTCCCAGGCAACTCATGACAGGACAGGGGAAAGTGGCCTCAAGTTGCACTGGGAGGAGGTTCAAGTTGACTGTTAGGAAAAACTCCTTCACTGAAAGAGTGGTTAAGCAGTGGAACAGACTGTCCGGGGAAATGGTGGAGTCAACAGCCTTGGACGTGCTCAAAAACCAAGTAGACGTAGCATTTGCATTATGGTTTTGTGGCATGGCAGTATTCAGTCAAATGTTGGACATGTTGGGAAAGATCTCCAAGATCGACTCTAATGATTCTGTAAGGAAACTGTCCAAATTACTGGCCATGTTGCAGAATTAATTATTTATATGAAGACTTCAGTACCATTCTAGCAGAATTAGCAAAGTGTAGATATTAAAGAACTTCAATAGGGAATTTTTACTGATGTTGTGATTCATAATTGTTTGTAAATTCCTTAGTGAAATCAAAATCAGTTGAGGCTTCAAAACTGGGAGATTGTACTTCTTGACTTTTTTTTTCCCCAGAAAGATTGTAATTAATTTGTGATATGGAAACTAACAATATTCATTGTTCTAAAATAAGGTGCTACAGTGAGTGCTTGTCTTCATATTCTGCAAATGCTCAGGAATACACTTTCAGAATAGTTTGTCCGGCATAGCAACACCACTTCCAACATTTTGGGATAAAAAGATGCATCAAAATTTCCATGCTTCTGCACTGAAAGTTTACCTCTTCAGAATCATGTATGGACATGTTGACCTTTCATGCCAGAAGAAGGAACATTGAAAGGCTGTCCTGATCAAGAGATGTGTTTGTGATTCCTCTTCTCCAAAGAGAACTGCTTTGTAAATTGTCAAGGCAGCAAACCTAATTCTAGTAAAGGTGTAGACTATGATGCAGAGACAGCAAACTCACAGAAAAACTTTGTTGGATTCGTGTGACTTAAAAAGGTCTCAGCATCCTATTATTAATGTATTATTATATGTATGGCAGGCAACCCAAAGTTATCTTGACGAATGTCCTGAGGACGAAACTAGGAAGAAAGTACACACAGGCGCAACCTAAAACTGGTGCTAATTTTTCTGATGCTGGCAAGCTGCAGGCAGATCTACCACCCTCATCATCTACTGCCAGCCTAAAGATATGGCAGATTTTAAACCCTACTCTCCAAAGTCTTTTGCTATCTAAAAGGTATGTGGTCTTTGCCTCATGTCACTAAACAAAATCATTTTCCTTGCAGTTATTTTTTCATGAGAAAATGTTATTTGTTGTACCACAGCTGTCTTGGTTCATGAACTGTGTTTCATCTGACTTGACTGAATTAACCTGTACCTGGTTCCATTTGATAATCATTGAGAGAGATGGTGCCGGGCTGTTGTAGTGGCTTTTCTGTTCAAATGACTTCTAGATGGTCCTGTACTGACGAGACCAATTAATTCTGATTTAACCATTGGATTCTCAAAATGTTTGCGTTTTTTTATTCTTGTGTAAAGAATACACTTGTATTTAACTGCAACCCTTTTCTCAGAAGAATGTATCAAGTGTATTTTTCACTGTTGCTGCTTTAGACTACTCAAGAAAATAGGAGAACCGACATAACAGGTCAGAAGAAAAGCATATCAAGTCCAGTATCATCTTCACCATCCTGCAAGCGGTGGTCAAGTGTAGATATCCAGGGAAAAGTATGGCTATAGTGAATGCTTTTTTTCTCTGTGTTTTTCTCTGAGCTTCTGATGGTAGGCAGTTTAGGTACTTTGTTTATTGGAGGTTACATCCAGTCAACAGTGTTTTTCTGTATTAAACTTTTTCTCTCAGTTGTATGCTCATTGTTTATCACCTGCTTGCATCTGCAACATTTTGTCTGTAAGGTAGTCTCCTGTCTGAAAGCAAATTTACATCTCTGTGCATCTGAGTGCTCCCCAGACATCACACAGTCTGTGCTGGAGTCTGCTCTGTGGATGAATACAGACAACAGGAGAATTACACAGTCAATTCCCAAAGGACTGTGTTGTTCAGAACAGATTCAAAAGGCCAAGACCTTACGTCTGTAATACAAAACAAAATGCAGTGGAAGTGCTAGAATTGAAATCTCAGATTGAGAAATTTAAGTGGGTAAATCGAGGGCTATACAACAAGCTGGCTGCAGTAGCATTGTATGAAGTAAGTTGTGTGTGCTCAAGTGGGCAGTTGTATCTTTGTATTTCTGCTCAGCTTATTTTTGATGCTTGTGTTCTAACACCTGGGGACGTTTTTCTGAGCCTTGCTGTTTGGTAGAATGTCACCTCGTAATTGAGGGGAACAAATTCTAATGCTGCCTTTTTGTGTACATGCTACTTTTCTACCTGTTTGCTGAGTGCTTGAGAAAATCCAGTCTGTTTCACTGGAGGCTTCTTGTTCACAGGAAAATCAAGATTTTTTGCTCGAGATTTCTGAGAAATGTGTAAATATATTGCATGAAAGCTATTTAGAGATAAACATTTACCAATTTTTAAACAGTATTACATGATGTTTTAGAGGCAATGCAGTGTGAATTATATTTTGGTGAGGTGAAATTATATGGCTAGTTTTTCTTACCCTGGTCTCTTGTTGCTTTTTTGTGTTAATCTGCTTACCATGTATTTTAAGTTTCTTGATGGGATTTTTTTTTTTCTCTAAGGGACTGAAAATACTGATGTTTGATTATCAAGCCTCTTAGATACGTGAGTTTAACAAGAAGTTTCTTTCTCTAGATTTCAGTGCAGTATTTATGATTTACTGTTATATATATATATATGGCAGGCAACCCAAAGTTATCTTGACGAACGTCCTGAGGACAAAAATTGGAAGAAAGTACATAGACAACCACGTAACAATTGATGCAAATTTACCAGCTGCTGACAAATTGCAGTCGGGTCAACTACCCTCATCATCTGTTGCCAGCCTGCAGACATGTCAAATATTAAGTTCTCCTCATGAAAGTTCTTTTCTGTCTGAAAGGTATGTTACTCATTGCTGATTTTGCCAGTCTTCCTGAAATGACATAACTTCACAATGCAAAAGAATTTCACTGAAATAATTGTGGTTCTACTCCTGTCTTGAATCACAAGATCAGTTTTCCTGGGTGCAACTAACATGCTTGTCCAGTGAGCCCATTTAACACTGCATTTGTTCTGATTTGCTTGACCTGATGATAATGGGCTACTTTCCTTTCTTAGATGGAGTTCCTGTTTGCAGTAGATCAGTGTTTTGATTTATGGAGATGACCAATTAATTCAAACACACCTGAGTTGGTTTTGTGTCTGCAACCAAAATCTTGCTTTCTTGGAGCTGTTAACGTGTTCTGGCGTGACTTCAATTAACTTCTTCTGCAAAATTTTCCAAATTCCTCTCTGTAGTAGTTAATTTCTTTTCACATTAACCCACCAGTGGTCTCAATCCTAACAGGGTGACATTGTTTAAGGGCTGTGTGTGTCGTCTTACCCCTTAACATCTTCTTTTCCTCCCTTTTTCCTATGTTTAGGTTGACTGAGCATCACAGTAATGCTAGACATAGAAAATTAGTGGAAATCAAATATTAGAGTTATGTAACATTTTGGTGTAAGAAGGCAGTTGCATTCAAAGTAAGCTGTCTCCTCTTATCTGTTATGGCTACATCTTTGCTCAACAGCAAATTTTCCACAGGAGAATTTAGCAAGAAATTTGGAGGAAGAAGGTAGAAAGAGGAAGAGAAGAATGTTTTTTTGAGGGCAGGAGCAATTAACAGTTCCTAGATAAAAGTTGAGAGAAGTAAGTCATATTCCTCATTTTGATACATCAACATATTAGAGAACTGAATTTAATAGGAATTCCTTTTTTAGTTCCTTTTTTTTTTTAATATTTGTTACACATTGCTGCTTAAATTAACCTGACAAAGCTGTAGTTTAAATGAGATAGAACAGTAGTTTAAATTTAGATAGAACAGTTCATTAGGCTGTCTCAAATATTATATTTGTTGCTAATAGTTTTCTATAACTTAAGGTTGAGTAAAGTGTGGGGGGTTTTTTCATGTTCTTGGGGATTTTTTGTTTTGTTGGGGGGGTTGCAGTGGTTTTTTTGTTTGTTTGTTTTATGTCAAAATCTTTTAGTATCTAATTTTTTTTTACTTGGTAATGTTTTGGATGATGGAAGGTAGTGGATTTATAGAGAGGAAAACATGAAATCTTGTATTGAACTCTCTAAATCTGAGGAAACATCTTGAGTTCTTTGTCAAGCTCATAGTTGGAGGGTGGCTGTTGAATTTTATATTAACCACAATAATGGTTTGAACTAGTAATTTTTTTAGCAGTTGTTGTACTCAACTTGCTTTAGCTTTGGAGTGGTTCATTGCTTGAATGATTAATATTCTGTTCCTGATACACAACTTTCTAATGTATTATGTAAAAGACCTATCAGTATCACTAATGAGTTTGAGGTAGGTTTTAAATGTAAAGAAACATAGGATTTTAAAGTGGTTAAAGTACTTCTTTCCTGTGGTTGTTGAAAACATTTTATAGTGTATATACTGCTTTAGCTTCATAGACAATGCATATGTCTGTTAAAGGGTGCTGAATTACCAGCAAAGTTTGAAATTGCAAATAAAATGTGCAGAATTTATGTATGAAGTCAATATGCTTAGGGAGGCTTGTTAGCTGAAACAGTCCTATTGAGATACTTCCTATTATTGAAATGCCTGAATTGTGATGTTGGTGTAAAACAAATGCTGAAAAACACTCAATGGTTTTGTATGGTCTTTTAAGGCAGTCAGATCTATGCAGCTGTTATGCATACAGATAATTTAAACTGAGAAAGAGATGTGGATTCCAAAATTAAGTTTTCTGCAGTGAGGTTATTCCAGAACTAGAGCTACCCAATCTATGGAAGACCCTGTCTTGTTCAATATACAGAATGAATAATAGCACTTACCGAGCACTTCTTCTGTGAATGATCCAGTTCATGGTACTTTGTGAATGGAAAGATAATCAGTAATTTCTTCACAGTGCTTATACATACTCTTCATCACTGTAGTATCAGAGTACTGTGGAAATCTTTATTTGTCTTTACAGTGTTCCCAAAGAGCAACAATAATGTTCAGATAGACACTGAAGAATAGGCATCCGTTCAGAAAGTGTCCAACAGTTTTGGCAATCTAGTTAGAGATGTCCATGGTTGGTGATGTTCTGTACGAGTCCAAGCTCAGCTGTCAATGATTTTGGTCATTGTGATGGACACTTAGCTCTTAGCAAGTTTGAGACCACAACATTCTGAGTTAGACACATTATAAAGCAATGAACACAAAATCCGTTTGGATTAATCCTTTTGTTTCTTTCTCTTCCGTGTCCCATCCTCCTTTACCTCCTTCACAGGTTTCAGACCCTTTTGAGCTGGAATTTTTATTTCAAATAATTTCTTATTGCAGGGTCTTACTCATTGGACATTGGATTCTGTTAGTCATTCTGAATCTGAAAAACATACTACATTGTCTTATTCTCACCATATTAATTACAACTGACTGTTGTTCTTTCTTTTTTTTTCTTACGTGTTCTTCTTGCAGTCTCTCCTTACAGTAAAATATTTGTGCCTGATGTTAAGCATGTCAATTTTTGTACTTTGTGCTTTTTAGAAGGATCTGTTTCATTAACATTGTTAAAATATCTGTGTATTTCCACAGTCAGACTGAATTAATTGTTTGCTTTGCCAAGGTCCACAAATTTTGTGAGAAAGGCAGAAACTTGTAGTCTAACCAACTCTAGTTTCTGTTGAGATTTTTTTTTTTCTTCAATATTCTTTCAAAATGGAAGATAAGTCATAGTTAGTGTTATTTGCAGGTCTGAACGTTGTCTGAGAAAGACAGATGATGAGCTGTGTAAATTGACCAAATCCTCTAAGGAACCAGGAAAAACTAATGCTGTCACGTTAAGAAGGCGGGAGCTGCAGAAGAAAGGTTTGTAGTGAGCAGTCATTTGGCATTTAAGTATGAATTTTGGGGAGTGTTGGAATATTTTCCTTTTATCAGTCTATTATTACAAGAAGAGCACAGAAATAAAATAGGTGTTGCAAGCACTGCATGTATTTCCTCTCAATGCAGTTTTTTACAGGTATGGTAAAATATATGAAATGCCTGGTTTTAAATAGGAATAAAACTACGGTGAATCAAACCTGTGGAAGAAAAAATGAAACTGAAGAAAACCTCACTGCAGTCTTATAATCCTGATTTTCTAAAAAAGTCTTTCATAATCAAGAATGTAATCCATTAAGAATGGTCAAATGGTTTGTGAACACTGCTAAAATGTTTATGCTATTTGACAATATTTGTATTCACTGCTGAAGAATTATGACCTCTATGCTCAGTCTCCAGGGTTAATGTACTGCCTTTTATACTGATTAGTATTATTTAGTAATACTTGCATTAGTAATATTTGCAGATTAGAACAGGAAATTGAGAATATTACATCTGGCAGAAGATTAAAGAAAGACTAATTCTTACTTGGAAGGGAGCTATGAATTTGACTATACCCTTAAGTAATTATGCAATAATAATATCTCTTAATTATTTTAGGGAATATGTTTTGGCAACCATACGCAATTAGGAAAGAACTACTGAAGATATCTGTGGAAGATACCTGCTTCCATGCATTTTATTTTAGACATAATGGATATGGAGAAATGTGAAGGTTTTTAAGGATAATCTGTTAAATCACTTACTTTTTAGATGCAGAAAACAAGCACTATGATGAACTGGAGAGGAGGAGCAGACAGATGAACAGCACTACTCTTAGTCAGAAGGACTCGGGCTCTTTTGATTCTGAGAAAAGGAAAAGAAGACACAGTGGCCATATTTCTGATGATTGTAATGCACACATTCCAGAAAAATCACTTGTACTCTCTGTAAGTTGCATTTAATTTTAATGTATGTGTTCATGTACACTCACGCACACACTTCAGTAGCTGCGTTAGCAACATCCTGCGTTAGTAGCTACTTCAGTAGCTGCATTAGCAACATCCCAAATTAAAGAATTATTGTAATAAGTAGGACTCATTATACAGGTATATTAGCACATTATACCCATTGAGGGAAAATAGTTGAGTGATGCATCCAAAGGAATGAGTAAATGTACTTCTGTCCACAACATCAGAATATGCTTATTGTAGCAAAAAAGGTTGTGAGAGGTGAATGACAATGTTTCCTTCAAACAGGAGCATGGACTAAAAGAATTTTGTAAATAAAACATCTAACTGCTTAAGTGAAGCTTCTTTCACAGATGATATAGAGCTAGGGACTAATTAGGGCTTTAATACAAAAATTACTAAATATACCTAAGGTTGTTGAAATCTTGCAAATGTCATCTTCTTCTCAGTCTGTTGTACTCTTCCTTAAAGTTTTATTCTTATCCATCACTAAGGTTTTCAGAAAAACCCTCTAAACAAAACCAAACCAAAACAAAAAACATAAACAAAAGACTGAGGGAATTAGTCAAGTACACAGATTTATATTCAAGCATTTGAATACAATAAAGGCATCCCTGTCACCTTCTGATTAAAACCCCCCAGAGACAGGCAGCTGCTGAATCCTCTTAGCCCAGTTGACCAAGCCACACTTATGGGAAAGTGGTGAACATCACTGATTCTTGGTCTTTCAGTGTCAGACAGTGAGAGAGCTAGTAAAAAATAAGACTTAGTTCCTTGTTCAGTTTGAAGGGTGGTCATGGTAAATGTCTAAAAAGTTGTCCCTTATGTTTTTGTATAATAATAACCTTTAGAATATGAGGAGGGAGAAATTGTCCTGAACTGAGCATTAAATGTTGCTGCATTAAGCACATAGCTAAGTCTCAGTGATATGAACCATCTAGAAATGTCGAGGAATAAACTTAAATCCTGTCTCTGATTCCTGTTTCTAGGAAAAGCAAAGTTTGAGTTCAACTCCTGGCTGCAAAACACCCTGTGAGGATGGACAAGGTGACAGGTCTAATGCTATTCTGGTGCTGGATTGTACTACCCAGCCATTAGAGAGAGACTCTAAAGACACTTCCACGCACAACCACTTAAGGCCTGCTCACAGCCGCACAGAGGAGTCTGGCTCAGAGTCTTCTCCCAGGAAGTTGTCAGAGAAGCAGCCTTCTGCCACCAGCGAGGACGTGATTGTACCACGAGTTAGTACAATCAGGAAATTAAAGATGGACCCATCTCAGTACCTGAGCAAACTGCGGAACAGAATCTGCAGGGGTAATCAGCAACTTGTTTCCATTGACCCAAGTATGTACTATGTCTGTGCTGCTGACAATTACTGTTGGGACACTTAAGTACTAGGAGAGCTCGAGCCTGACTGGCTGGTTGAAACGTAGAGAACAAAAGATTGAAGACAGAGATCGTGTTGTGTGTAATGCATTGAGCAGGTTACAGATCAGTGCCTAGAGTCAGAGGGTCTTGTACTTGAGAGACAGGATAGACAGCAAGATTTTAAAATTCCAGTCCTTATTTTGTGGCTGATTTTGTGGCTATGGAAAATCGAGCTTGTACTTAAGCTCACGCTTAAGCTGAAAAAAAATATTCTCTAGTTTGAAGCAACTGAGTTGTGACCTGTTTCTTTTAATAGCCAAATAGTTTTGAGGATCTTGGATAAAAGGTGTTCATACAGATACAAAACAGTACTTGTTGCTTGCACTTTCATGCACACAGATCTAGATCTTGACTGGTTTGGGCAATGTACTTTGATATTACGTACTGCAAGAGAGAAGTCTTTGCTTGTCTGAAATCCACAATGAATGAAATATTCTTGAGGCTGTGTCATGTAGTATATGAATACTTTCTTTTTTTCCCTCTTTAGTCGTCCTTTCCAGTGATGATGAAGATTCACCTGCTGAACCACAGTGCACAGAGCTGATGCAGGATGGTATCACTGAAATCAAAGAAACAGACCAACAGTCTGACTTCTCAGCTAAGCAACTGGAAGACAAGATGGAAAGCCACAAAGAGCAGGTAGTTTAGTTTTTGGCCGATGTATTGTTATACCAACCCTTTATTTCTACACTATTTGTTGTAGAAAATTATTGTTTATAGTCCCAGCCACAAGCAGAATTCTCTGGCTCTGAAGCTTCAGTGTTTCTGTAACATACAGTGTATTTCCTATTTGGAAATGTTTATTATCAGAAACCAGAAAGGATTAAATAGTAACCTGAGCTAGAAATAGATATGATGAAGATACATCTGTGAAAAACTTGTTTCCTCACAGTGTTTTAAATTGATTGCAGTTTCTTCTTGTCAGCCAGTCCTCTGTTGTAATTCAGTGCATGGAGAAATTCAAGGATCTTTGTTGACAGCAGAGAGAGAGAGGGTAAAGTTTCCTCTTCTGTGTGGCTAGCAGTAAAATGTAAATTTAGAACTAGCCATAAAGGTGGTTACCTCATTTTGGACTTGATTAGCCTTGTGCTGCTCACTTTGACCTGGATTTATGTTATCCTGAAACAAGTCAAGAGCCATTGATTGCTGCCTCTTCTCGCAGTTGCATCATTTTGATCATAAGCGTTGAATTGGATCCTGAACCTTTGATACGAAAAGAGGGCTATTATTTTGTTGCTCTGCTTTGAGTTTTTACTTGGCTCTAGATTAGTAAAGTGCACAGATCATGTCTTGGCAGCGAAGGTGATAAAAGATATTTTTAGGCCTTTAAAGACATTAATAACATGTAAAGACATGTAATAACACTTAAAGCTTTTGAATATGGAATTTTTATATGGAAGCTGACTTTGGGAGTAAATTCTTATCAGCGTGATGTAAAAAATTCCCAAGGTTACAGGAGAGAAGTATCTCATTTAAAGCCCTGTAGTAAATATACTTTTTCTTCTAGTTTTTAACAGAGTCGATGGAAGATAAATGCCTGATTGCCTTACCTTCTGAGAGAACACCTAGAAAACAGAATAACCCATCGCTGGATGTTACATTTGATAGTCTGTACATTGGGAGATTTAAATGCTTATCAGTAGGTCCTGCTAGGGTAAGTTGTTCTATTATGATGATGTTTCGAGAATATTTAAAAATTAAAATTCTGGTTAGGCAAAACCAGTGGTACTTAGTATGGAAACACTGAGTTTTGATTATTGCTGCATCAAATTCCTTTGGCTAATCAGTGGAGTGTGTGGTCCATTACCTTGTACATTTGAATTGCTGTCAGAAAAGCTAACTGATTTTCTGTGGCCACAGTTTTCAGATGTAGAGGTTCTGTATAAATGCTGTACTTGAGAATTCATACTGAGGAGGCTTGTAATGAATTCTAACAGAAAATAATGGCCATATTAGTGGCCAATTAATGTCACTTAAATACCAGTTACTTTTCTCAGAAATAGTAACGATTTAGAATAAAGTAATCCATAATGATCAGAGTTCAGTTATATATTATGCTCTAATCTTGCCTTTTAAACAGAAAATTGCTTGGTTTTTGGCATTAAAGAACATAAAAACAGTACTAAAACCACTAGTGCATAGGCAACATGCTATTCATTGGGTGGAGAAACATAAGTGAGGATCTGCTTAAATGGAGTTCAAGCTCCAGAAGTTTATCAGGTCTTTGACCAGGCTCATTCTGCATATTGCAACTGAAAAAGAAATGTTTGAACCTGCATATGTTCTGTTGCTTTTAGTAAGACATCTTGAAATCTTGGATTGTAATAATAATAATTTTAGGTTTTCACAAAGCAGAAGTTTTGTGCAGCAGTTCTTGTGCACTTATGGAAACATTTAATGGAAACTTCCTAAATTAACAGGCCAAAAATAATTTGAAGGATTAGTTGAAATAATTTTAGAATCAGTGCTTTAGGTGTAAAGTAGACGTTTTCCTTGGAGAACACAACTTTGTACTTAGTGTGGTAATGTAGGAGAAACCTGTTCTGTCAATGTCTATGAGAACCTTTTGTCAAAGTGACAATAAAGCACTCTTTATTTAGCGAAGTCTCTTTAGCACAGCAGCAGTGCAAGTGAAATCCTTCAAGGCCTTTAATTCAAAAATTATTGTAAATAGCAAAGTAACACCCCAGTGTCGAATTGTTTCTGTTGTGACTTAATTCAAATAGTGCATCTGACAGCCTATCATGGGTTGGTTTAGCTCCTTTTGTCTCAAGTGTTTATCTTTTTTTCTTCTTCTTAAGGAACCTCTAGGCAGCTCTGTAACTTTTTGTTTGTTTCTCAGTGCATAGCGTCTCTGCAAGTTATGTGCTGTCATTTAGGTTCTGCAGTATGTCTTTAGGAGTGTTTGGGAGTGTTCTTTTAGGTGAAATAGGCAGTTTGAAATCTCAAACTAGGCATATTTGACTTGGTAGTGTCAGGCTAATGGTTGGACTTGGTGAATGGTGTTTTCCAACCTAAATAGTTCTATTATTTTCAGTGTATTTGACTGTAAGGAAAGACATGGAGATAAGTACAAATTCTTATATTGATTTAATCAATTTGTAAAAAGCAAAGTAATTTTTTTTTTTATTTCAGTTTACAGCAAAGAATATTGTGATCCCACTCCAGGGTAAGAGAATTTTTTTCTTTAGGGTTCTCTTAACTGTATCTTTGAAGTACTGCATTAAAATACAAAGTATGTATTTCTGTTATGTGTAGTTTATAATCTTACTTGCTTTCACAGAGACATTAGATAATTTTCACTTATTTTTCAGTAAAGGAGTTTTGGTGTCTATATTGTAAGCCTTAATAACTTAGCAGTTTCTTGTACTTTTAAGGTGAACTTGTATTTTTAATGGCCTTGTCTCCCATATTTCTGCATATTAGAGGTGTTGAACTGTAGTAAAAATGACTGTGCATGTTTTTGAGGTGAAACAATAATCTTTTCAGGTTAGGGGTTTATACCCTAAGGGTAATTAAACAAAAATATATGAGTTGACTAAAGATAAGAGGAATATAACTGTAGATTTGCATTAAGTTGGTTTTCCAAAGATGGAACAAGGAAAACCTCCATTCTTTATTGGACATGGGTAGGAACATAATTATCAAAGATGAGGACAAGGCTGAGGTATTTAACACCTTCTTTACCTCGGTCTTCAACAGTAAGACAGGTTGTCCTGAGGACAGCTGGCTTCTGGAGCTCGTAGACGGGGATAAGAAGCTGAATAGCCCCCCTGTAGTCAAGGAGGAAACAGTTAGTGACCTGCTGAGCCATCTGCATCCTCACAGGTCTATGGGACTGGATGGGATCCACCCAAGGGTGATGAGGGAGCTGGCAGAAGAGCTTTCCAAGCCACTCTCCATCATTTACCAACAGTCCTGGGGAGGTCCCAGATGATTGGAAGTTGGCAAATGTCACGCCAATCCACCAAAAAGTCTGGAAGGAGGACCCAGGAAACTTACAGACCTGTCAGCCTGAGCTCGGTGCTTGGCAAGGTTATGGAGCAGATCATCCTGTGTGCAATCACACAGCACCTACAGGATGGACAAGGGATCAGAGCCAGCCAGCACGGGTTTAGGAGAGGCAGATCCTGTTTGACCAACCTGATCTCCTTTTATGATCAGGTAACGTGCCTGGTGGATGAGGGGAAGGCTGTGGATGTGTCTATCTGGACTTCAGCAAAACCTTTGACACTGTCTCCCACAACATACTCCCGAAAAATCTGCAGCCCATGGCTTGGACAGGGGCACTCTGTGCTGGGTTAAGAACTGGCTGGAGGGCCGGGCCCAGAGAGTGCTGGTGAACGGGGCTGCCTCCAGCTGGCGGCCGCTCACCAGTGGTGTCCCCCAGGGATCAGTGCTGGGCCCAGTCCTGTTTAACATCTTTATCAATGATCTAGATGAGGGGATTGAGTCCATCATCAGCAAATTTGCTGATGACACCAAGTTGGGAGGGAGTGTCAACTTACCAGAAGGCAGGAGGGCTCTGCAGAGGGATCTGGATAGACTGGAGAGTTGGGCTGACTCCAATGGGATGAAGTTCAACAAGGCCAAGTGCCGGGTCCTGCACTTTGACCACAACAACCCCCTGCAGCGCTACAGGCTGGGCACAGAGTGGTTGGAGAGCAACCAGGTGGAAAGGGACCTGGGGGTGCTGATTGACAGGAGGCTGAACATGAGCCAGCAGTGGGCCCAGGTGGCCAAGAAGGCCAATGGCATCCTGGCCTGCATCAAGAACAGTGTGGCCAGCAGGAGCAGGGCAGTGATCCTTCCCCTGTACTCTGCGTTGGTGAAGCCGCACCTTGAGTATTGTGTTCAGCTGTGGGCCCCTCAGTTCAGGAAGGATATTGAGGTGCTGGAGCGGGTCCAGAGAAGAGCAGCCAGGCTGGTGAAGGGACTTGAGCACAAGTCCTGTGATGAGTGGCTGAGGGAGCTGGGGCTGTTTAGTCTGGAGAAGAGAAGGCTCAGGGGTGACCTCATCGCTCTCTACAACTACCCGAGAAGAGGTTGTAGCCAGGTGGGGGTCTGTCTCTTTTCCCAGGCAGCTATCAGTAGGACAAGAGGACATGGTCTCAAGCTCTGTCAGGGGAGGTTTAGGTTAGATATTAGGAAGAAATTCTTTACAGAGAGAGTGATCAGGCATTGGAAGGGACTGCCCAGGGAGGTGGTGGATTCTCCATCCCTGGAGGTATCGAAGAAGAAACTGGATGTGACATTTAGTGCCATGGTCTAGTAACTGTGGTGGTAGTGGATCAAGGTTTGGACTTGATATCTCAGAGGTCCTTTCCAACCCATCTAATTCTATGGTTCTTTGTGTGTTAGGAGAAGGTTTGTCAGCAGTTCTGGATTGGATTGACTAAAAGCAAATAGGAATTCATGATTTTCAATATTTTTTTTTATATATTTGTAGGTGTTTAACTGTGGTTGTTTTTAGAAAAAAAAAAAAAACCAACTTTTTTTTTTTTCAGGAAGAATTCCAAATTTAGATGTTTAGCTTTTGGTGTTACAATTTCATAACTTTGTGTAACATAGTTTGATGGAACTGATGTCAGTGTTGAATTCTCAGTATTTTATGTAATACTTGGAATAAAATCTATAAGTACTGTGTTAATACACTCTGGTCATACTTAGATCTCAGCATGTAATTACTGTAACATGTATGACTATGGCTGTTAAAGGTATGGTTCTTTTAAATTCTGTTCTCTACAGTGGCTCTCAATAAGAACATTAAGCTGACAGTGGATACTCTGGATCTGAGAAGGTTTGGCCTGTGGAGAAGTGATGGTGACTGTTCTTCAACAACTATTATTTTTCTTTGGTTGTCTGTGGATTATGTAGAAAACATGGAAACCCAATTGGGAAAGTCAGTTATCAGCAAGCCATGTAAGTAATCTCTTTCCTTAAAAGCAAAGGAAAGGTCTAAATTTATGGCATGTCAATAAAGTGGTTATTTCACAGTTGTGTTTTTTGAATGTGGAGAAAAGCTTATTGCATTTTAAATATAATTTGGTCAGTTTTGCTTTTCTAAAATACCTTGCTATACTTATATTTGGAAGGAAAAAATCTAACATGATATGATTCAAAACTAACTGCTATTTAATAAAAAGACCTCAACATGCAGTCTAATTGTAATCTGTGTGAGAAAGCCCTTTTATCTAGGCTTGTGTATAAAGCATCTCTCCCTTTAAAATATATGGGATGTTTTACTTGTCCTTACTGCTGAGTATGGTATGAGCTAGACAAAAAACTTGGCAAGTAAAGATTGAGTTGATCTGTCACAAGACTGCATTGGGCCATTGCATTATTGTTGAAGAAAATTTCCACTAAAGGCCAAGTGGGCTCTTTAGTCTTTAGGGTATTATGGACTGACTCTATTTGTTTTTCTAGCATGAAGCTCTGTAAAACTGAGTATGAATTTTGCTCATACGTTCAGAGTGGCACAATTACACCAGGTTTTTATGTAAGCAAAATCATTGCAAAATAGCATCTACAAAAATGATGATGTCAGAGTTGCCTGTGTGAAATTGAATAGTATGTATTCCCTGTACAGTCACCACCTGTAGGAAGAAAAATTATAAGTAATGTTAGTTTAACATAAGGAGTGCAAGTAGTTTGAAGCAAAATACTGAGTGAAATTTTAGCAGAGGGCTACCTTTACTCAAAGTAAGTTTATTGAAGTTACTGGTAGCTTCTGTAAGACACAGTTTCTAGTGAAATGAGTGGAATCCGAGGCTGTGAGGCATCTTTTAGTTTTAGGTTTATTTACCTTGGTTACATTCTTGTTGAAGAAACCTCTGCCTTCTTAGTGTGTTAACATTAGAGGAAAATATAATGTGGTGTATCTGACAGCCTGAAAGGGGTCAGAGGAGTTCCTTACCCAGGAGAGTTAGAAAGAACTTTATAAGAAGACAAGACAGGCTGTGCTGATCAATGCACACGGCATGGCCAGCCCTCTCTTTTCCCACATACCTTCCTCCCCATTGCCTGCCTTTAGTTCTTCCCTACAACAACCCATATTAAGTCCTTTGTAATCCCAAAATACTCTTCCCTTGCATCCCGTCACGTGTACCATACAGTTCAGAAAGTGCTCTAGCATCGACTCAGTAGGTGTTAGATCTGGACCCTTGGGCTGTGACTTTCCTGGGACAGCCCTGGGAAAGGCCCAGGTTGTGTTTGTCTTCCTCACAATCCTTAATTTGGGTTCCTACCTGCCATTTTGCCCCTGTGCTCCTCTGGGCTTATCAGGTGGGCCTTTGGTGGGCTGATGGCCCCTGTGATGAACCTGGTAGGGTATTATTTGGGCTCCCCTGCCTGCCATTGGCTCTCTGTGCTCCTTTATGGGTGTGCAGACAAGCTCTTATCACATAATCTAATAATTAATACTATCCATTCTCTCCTTTTTCCAGCTGAACCTGGTGAATTTGTATTTCTTGAATTGTCCCAACCACTCAGAGAATGGGAAGAAGACAGACTGACTGAACTGATTACAAGTGTGAGCAAGAAGAACAGAGCACCAGATCTCGCGGAGTTTTTGTCCTTGAAGCAAGCATTTCCCTTGTTTAAGGATCTTTCTCCTGAAGAAAGCTCTTTCATGAGTTACCATAAGGATCTACTAAAGCAATATATGCCAAAAAAGAGTACCTCAGATGCTCCTGAACCTGCAGTTCAGGTTAGTGTGTAGCTGTTGCTTTATTTATCACCCCCTGTTGGCATTCACACATTCTAGTAAATTTTCCATCAACCTTCTTTCTTAATCCATGGCTCATAAAAAACAGTCATGATGGCTGCAAAATTAGCAGTCAACTAGGTTGTGTCCACAGAGGGATAGTGTGTAGACCTCATCAGTGAATAGCAGGTGCCTGTGCTTTAGATTAACCTATATGGTTGTGTATATTTAGAACAGGGATATCCTGCCCTTCTGGTGTCTCTGGGGGAGCAAGTTGGGAGTTAATCAAGTAATGAGGGGTGGAGACATTTTTAGGTTGAGCTGGAAAAGCAGCAGAGAAGGAGCTGTGTATATTGCTCTCCAGGCACCTCTAGATGTACTTGTGGGGTCTCCACAGCTTGAAATGCTGAATGATTCCTCAGGCTGCTGGGGATTTGTATCTGTGCAAGTTAATGTGTTGTCAAGGTTTAATCCCTCTGAGGAGTAAATGTCTAAATCCAACCCTCCATCATTGTCACTTCAGAAATCACATATATTTGTTCCCACTAGTAAAAAGCACAGAGATGACAGATAAATATGATCCATGAAACTGGGGACTTAAATAGGGAGCCAGCAAGCTCAAATCTGTATCATTTTTCAGGTAAATTGTTCAAGGGCTGGATTTTCAACCTTCCAAGCACACACAGCTCCAAGTAAGACAGCCTGATACTTGTCTCCATCCTTTCAGGTCATGTTTCTTCTCCAAAACCAGTTCTCTGTCACTTGCCTAATAATACTTGGACAGTTTTGGAGAGATTATGAACTAAGACCTGTCATCATTTTGAAAGACTCATTACTTTTTATTACCTGAACAGTGGCACATTTGCCTAAATCCTGAAGGGTATCCTTTGCTCTCTAGCAACAGTCCTCTTCAGTGATGCAGGTTATTCCTGTGGGCTTTAAGCTTGAATTTTATGTGTTCTGTTTTACATATATAACAAACTGTATAATGCTTTTTTACTATTATTATTGTTTGTGTTTTTTTCTGGTAGGAATCAAAACTAAAAGTGGTCAGACCCAGTTATGCACTTGCAAGTAAGCAGAACTGTGGTTGTTATTCTATCTCTTTGTCCTCTACACTGAATGAAGAATGGAAAGAAGTAAGAGAAACAGGAGCACTTAAGAAGTAAGTAATGTTTCATATAAATAAGAAAGTAAAAGAAATGGAATAAATAAGTTGTTGGAATAAAAACCCTCACTTAACTACCATTCTCTAGTTGACTTTGAAGTTGTGTGAAAGTTGCTCTAGATATCTAAAATATCCTGAAGTCTAAGTGTAGTTATTAATTTTCCATCCTGATAGTTAACAGACAGAATGGATGTGTTACAGGATGACAGAAAATCCCACAGAAATTAAAGAATACTTGAACTGTGACTACAAGATCTAATCATGGTTGCATCAGTGGGGAGGGTAGGGACCTCATGCGTTCTGTAAGTGTCCATCTAAGTCCATCTTAGCAGAACTATTGCTGACTTAAGCTGAACCTTTTTTAAAATCTAAACTACATTTTCTTTCACTGTGTCCCAGTCTTTTTATAACTGATGTGTCATACAGTTTACTTGTTAGTACAGGAGCTTGGTTGGAAAAAGACACTAGTGTATCAAGATGCTGGGAGAACACTCACATGCTCAGTTCTGTCTGCACTTGCCTCTTGGTCCTCATACCTGTAGTACAGCAAATATTACCAGAGTAAATTGCTCTTAAGAACTCTTGCCTTTTGCTGTCACTGTTTCTACTGACAGTGTCACAGTTGGTTTTGCTTCTTCAACAACAAAAATGCTCAGTTCGTGGTTCCAGTTAATTACTATGGTTTTGAGTCTGGAGCCTTTTACGTACATTTTAAATACTAGTGGTAGACGTAACTCGGGCTGTCTTAAACCACTTAAAATACATATGCTACAAGCCCAAATTCACTGCCTGGAAATGTCGGAGTCCTTGTTGGGCTGTTCATTCAGACCATTTGTCCCCTGGTATTTCTTCACATTTTATATAGCCATTTCTCAACTGCTTTTATCAAGAATAGAAAAACAAGATGAAGTTAAAAAATATTCTCCTTTCCAAAGTTTTTCTTAAAGTTTCAGTGTGCATTGGAGTGAGTATTTCTTTTGAAACACTTGGCTACTGGAGGAAGAAACGATAAAGGACTCTTGAGTTAGCCAACAATTTTGAGAACTACTACTTTTAACAGGTTTTCTAGAAAGTCTTCTACGTGTGAAACAACCATACTAAGAAGAGTGTCATGTAAAACAGTTTGTCACTGTTACGACATGATTTATATTTTCTAGTTTAATTGTTTACCCACCCCCACCTGCAAAAGGAGGACTGGGAGTCACAAGAGAAGACTTAGAGTGCTTAGAATATGGGGAATTTCTCAATGATGTCATCATTGATTTCTATCTTAAGTAAGTAATCACAGTCCTGCTTGTACCCTTCTTTCTGGGGCCTGATCTGGACTTGAATGTTACTGTAAATGTTGGTCACTAAACACCATACAACAATTTCAGAAGTAAAGAGTGTGATGAATTTGTACGTTGGACTTGTCTAAAAGCTTTTTTATGTTCTTGCAGTTTTATTTGTTTTAATTTAATTCTTTATGTCCCTTCAAAGGCCTGTGATATAATCCAGACAGAGTAAGTGGAAGAAAAAAAGCCTCTTGGTGACCTTACGCAACAGAAAGTGCTGAGCAGTGTTAGGGCAGTTGAACAAAGTAAATGGTCTGCACTAGTGTTTTATTTACTAAGTTTGCATGAAGTGGAGCATCCTCTGCTATTCTTTGCAATTTCAGACATTCTTCTGATGCAAATCTGCTGCAGAAAGGAGCACAGCTAATACTTCTTGAGGAAGTTGTGCTTGGCCAAGCTACTCCATGCCACCCTGCTAAAGATGTTTGTGAAAGCAATTTTTCAAAAACTGGCACTGTGGCCACCATTCCCTAAAGCTGAGGTTTATTTTCACACTGCTGACTTAGACCTAAGAGGAATTCTGGTTCGTTGAAGGTTGTCAGCAAGAATTCCATTTTACTTGGCATCCAGATGGCTGAAGGAGCAGGAGCAATAGGAAACCTTGTCTAGAGGAGTGGGAAAGGACATGTGTTACAGAGTGTTTCAATGGGATTTTGCAGCAGACCCCCTTGTATTTTGCTCTAAACTAGAAATAAATAATGCAACATGGTCCTCTCAATAGCTGTAGCTTCATCTCAACATGAAAAGAAAGATCTAAGTAAAAGAATTTAATGCAATCATTGCAGAAACTTCTCTGCTTTTAAAATTTGTTAGATTTCCCACATTCTCAGCTTTCATTGTGTTGCAAGCTGTATCATGTATGACTCTGTTTTCCAAGTCATCAGATGAAGCTGGAGGTACCTTGTGTAGGATAACTGCAATTATGAGAGCTTTGGCATTCTAGGATGACAGAATAAACACTCAAGCTGATGTTTATAGTGAAGTTATCAGCAGTGAAATAATAAGTACTTATAGAATATTTGACTTTCACATGCTTAACCTGCAGAAGTAAAATGGGCAATTTATTGTACTCCTGCATGTTGTACATGCAGGAGTATAGCACTCCATAGGTTTATATTTGGTTAGGTTTTAAGCCTGTCTTAATTGCAAGGGCTAAATACCTAACCTTAAAAAGAAATTCAGAAGCTTGAATATTGGAGCACAAATCTGGGACAAAAAATTATTGCATGGCTGTTATACACTCTGATGTCCATGCATGTGAATAGTTAAAATAGAGCAGAGAGACAAGTTTGGCATGATTAGTGGGTGTGAAGACAACTGGTAGTAATTATAACCTGAGTATTATAAGTCATTTTAATGACTCTAATGTTTTTTCAGTAATAGTAGTTTCTAGAAAAGGAATTTAATAACTTCCTTTTTTTTTTTTTTTCCTTTGGTAGGTACCTGTTGTTGGAGAAGGTACCAAAACGTCTTGCTGACCGTACACACATTTTTAGCAGTTTCTTCTATAAGTGCCTGACCAGGACAGAAAAAACCTCTGAGGGGGATGTCAAAGTTTCGTAAGTTCATTTTAGATACCATTGTAACCAGAAACGGGCTATCTATTTATGCCACTTGGAAGTTCTCCAGATCACCTACTGATTAGTACATGAAATAGTAATTGGTGTTCTCCAAAGGATTAGTGGTTGAATATTGTAACTCAACGATTTAAGCATATTGGTGTTTTTCCTTAAAATCTACACATGATTCATATTGAATATGAATGAAAATGTTATCGCCTTTCTCCAACTCTATCTGAATATTTACTTCAGACAGTTATTTATGTATTTGATATTTTAATCAGAAACTCAGAGCAAAGTTCTGTGAAATGTTGGTTTCTATTTCAACTTGTGCAAACTAAGGAAGCTCAAAATCTAAATTTAGTTTTCTTCTCAGAATTTTCTTATTCTCCTAGTGTCATCTCCTCATGCTTTATGTCTGTAGAACTGGAAATGAAATGTGCTCCAGCATTTAAATCTCAGGACTGGAGGGAATCTGTTTCTCTTCTGTGTTTGCTGCAGGTGTGCTAGATGACCCTGTGCAAGGCATTTAGCTTTTTCCTTCAAAAGATAAGGTTGTTTAGACAGACCTTCAAAAGTGGCATTGGAAAGTTTAATTCATGGATGTTTTTAAATTACTATAGATATGTTTTTACACTGACTGGTGTTTAGGTGAGATTTTTGCATTTAGTGTAGTAAATAATAATTAGTTGATAAATAACTGCAAGAAATCCATTCAAATCTATGAGTAATTTTTTTCCAGAAGAGTTTGAGATGGTTCAGAAATGGCTTGTTTGTCACTTGGGCTCAGTGGTGTGCTGATTTATTTTTAATCTGTGGGGAAATTTCAAGAGTAAGTGAAAAACACAGTGAGGAACTGGGAAGGTGTAGGAGTCCTAATTCCTGTGCTTGCCTTAACTGAATAGAACAAAAACAAATAACAGTTGTCATTTGGTTTCTTCAGAGTGGCACAGAGAAGGCATAGAAGAGTAAGAACATGGACTCGTCGTATAAATATCTTCAGTAAAGATTATATCTTTGTGCCTGTGAATGAGGAGTAAGTCTGTGTGTTTTCAACACTTTTGTGATGTTTAAAGATTTAAATATTTGAATGTTTTGGTGGTAAAAACTCATAGCTGTAAGGTTGGATCATCGGACATGACACTTAAAATTTTGAGGAAGTAACAGGTGTGAAATGGGTAATTTTGAAGTCTGTTCTAAAGGTAAAATGCTTAATTCAGTTTTCATCAGTAAACTTTGCACTTCTGGTGTTTGTAAAAGTAGTACTTCCATAGTCTGTGCCTTGGCCTGGCTGAATAACTGGCCTGTAAGTGGAAACTCTCTTGTAACACTGAATAGTCATGGAGAGGTACGTATGGAAAACAGGTGCAGAAAGAAATGAGGCTAAAGGTGTGCCGCACCTTCAGCTACATTCAAAATTGGGATCACCATCACAGATTATTACTTTTTTTCTTTTTCCTTACATTTTGGGATGGGTGCTCAAACATTGATAAATTGCTGTGACAAATTTTTGGGTATTTTTTCAAAGGAATTGATGCTGATTTTTGCTGTTACTCCACAATGCAAAGTAAAATGAGGGGACTGGTATGAGATGCCATAAAGGAACATGGCAGTGATGGTTATGTATCACAGAACAGCTGCTCATGAGCTCTCAGTATTACAAAAGCTTTTGATAGCCTTTTGAGAACCAAATGTTTCACAGCTTTGACATTTTTCCCCTGTCTCCCCCCTGCTGGGCAGGTCTCATTGGTACATTGCAGTTATCTGTTTCCCTTGGTTAGAAGAAGCCGTGTATGAGGAGTGTCCCCATCAGAATTCTCTATCTCACCAGTCTCCACTTCGGTCAGAGAGTGAGAACACTAGACCTGGTTCAGTGTTCTTCAAGGGTGAAGAAGAAATGGATTCTAACAGAATTTTATTCTCAAAAGGTAGGTAATCCAGAAGAGAATGATGTCAAGCCATATACAGTTCTAACAGTGTCTTAATCCTTGAAGGAGAGAAATCAAGTAAGAGATACTTTTTAGGATATTGAGGTTGATGTAGTTTGTTTTTATATTACCATCCATAGCAAGGACTGCAGGTTATCTGCAACTCTGAAAAGTACTGGAAGGGACGTGTAAAATCAGTCATGATTGGAAAGTTCTTTCATTTCAGTAAGAATTTTATCAGGAAGGAAGACCCTCAGTAACTCTATTTGAACATTCAGATACGAATGTTCAAAGTTAGTTTATAAGTTAGTTCTTCACTGTCATATTTTTAATGCTAATAATCAGAAACTTGGAAATAAAAATATTTTGGTTGGAAAATACTTTCTTAAAGACTTAATAATTTGTTCTTTTGTACTAGGTGGCAATGAAATTGCTGCTGCTGCTTCAGTTCTAGATTCAGCTATTTCTAAAGTAAGTGCCTTTTTGTACTGACAGAGAAAATGTATTACTCTGGTTTTGAAGGCTGTGAGACTTGACCAAGTGTTTTTGCATCATCTTTTTTGCAGTAGCTATCAAATATTTGCATAGCCCGCAGTATGTGCAAGGCATTTTTAATTAGCCTTAAGTCCTCCTTTGCCTACCTGTGTTGCTCTGCTATACTTTCATGTGTTTTTAAAAATGATTTATCTGTCTTCCTGAAATGAGAGCTTCTCTCACTACCTTTATATCTATGAAGATGATACGTTATAATTGCTGTTAATTTTTTAAAAATTATTTTCTTTTCTTTTCTCTCAGATCTCCCTAAGTAATTCCAAAAGGCAGATTTGTAAAAGGTATGTTTCAGTTTTTCTTCTAATTTTGTAACATTAAATTACATTAAGAAATTCTGCAGTAATTCAATTATTTTTCATAAAGCCACAGCTGAAGGTACTTGTCCATTTTTACCACATTGGTTCAGATATTGATGCTCTTGGTAAGCTCTGTTCAAAGAAAATATTTGCTTCAGTAGTGTGATAATGAAAGCCTACAATGATTTGTTTGTTTGTTTTTGTTATATACAGGCCTTGTATACTCATCTTAGATTCTTTGAAAGCTGGTTCTGCGCAGAAAACAGTTCAGGTTTTGAGAGAGTAAGTAACTACAGTTTCTGCCTTTTAACAAGAGATGCTGGTGGTCATATTTCTATATTCCAAATACTTTTCTCTATAAAGGTGTATATTTCTAATGCTAAAAAAACTGTAAAATAGACAGTTTTTAAAATTGGAAAAAAAATAGAAGTAGAGGGGGTTTTGTTGTTGAGGGGTGGAAGAGATTATCCCATCCAGTTGAGTAATTGAGGGTGTTTTTAAGGGTAGAAAAACATTTTTTACATGTTTACATAAGGGTAGAAAAACATTTTAAGGTAGAAAAGCATCTATCAATAACTTTTTCAAAAGTTGTTAGATATTTGAATCAAAACAGAACTGTTCATTTTCTTCTCTGTTGTGTTCATTTCACTGAAAGGAACAAAAATCTGTAAACCAAATAATATGCCGCCTTCTTGTAAAAGCAAATTCTTCAAAATAGTACGAGAGGGTTAGATGAGAATCAGAAATTTTTGTGAAACCACCTTTTTCCTAAATAGAGAGGACTCCCTACCATGTGTGTCTTGGGAGGAAGAATGAAATAGCAAATTTTATTCCTTTACTTATGGATAAAATCTCAGTGGGATCTGTGATTTTCATGCTCTATGCTTTGTGCTGTTCCCGAGGTTGAAATTCCAGAGAGTGTGGTTACCTGGAGTTTAGACAGATGTCACAAAAAGTCAGAAAACAAGTGGAGATTTATGGAGTTGTGAGATAAGGGAAGTTTGGGAATCATGCCTCTTATTCCTTTGATTTTCAGTTACACCCAGGAAGCTGAAGTTTGTGGAAATGGATGCAGGGGTTCCTTGATCCCTTCTTTCCTTGAGTTGATTTTTGTTCTGTTTTGGGCAGTGGTCAGGCTAAAACAAATTAATTATAAAGTCTACAGCCACAGGTTCTTGTGGTTTCTAGGGAGTGTGCTTCATCTTTGAATTATTTCATGTTTGCCTTCTTCACAGTTAGCATTTTCCCCAAAAGCTGTTTTAAGTGTTTGATATGAATTTTTAGTCTCAGAATTGCAAGGACCTGGGGCTTTTAAAAAAACACAAGGTCTGACCTAATGCATAGATTTGTTATTCTCTAAAGATCTCTCAGACCTTAGGTTTGATTTTCACGAGCTTGAGCCTTTGCAAGTGTGACTCAAGGTAGGAGAAAAATATGAGCAACCAATGCTTTTGAAAATCAGACCCCTAAGCTCTCAATTCCATCTCTAAAATCAGCAGCCTGTCCCGAATGTGGAGGCAGTGAGTTGCTACTGAAGCACAAGTACTAAACAAGTATAAAGCCTGATAACAGTTTATCAGTCCTAACCATTAAAGAAGAGATCTCTTAAGATTTCCAACAAGTCTTTATATACCTTGTACACTAGTAGGTTACAAGGGTTATATTGGTGCATTTCTAACTGAAGTTGTTTGTAATGTGAGTTTGGAGGATTTTTTAATGGTTTTCTTAGGTTAAAAGAAATACTCCTGGCCTTCTAGGGTGAACCCTGGAAAAATCTGTGTGATAGCCAGGAAAGATTCCTGGACTTATTCCTTAAGATTTAATAATGTACTGGTATCCTAATAGCTTGAAGAAACTCGGCACAAGTAACTGTTTTTAAGTAATATCATGCCTATTTCTGTTTTGTGTATTGCTTATTATGTGGTAGAGATGCCTCTGAGTGCAGTAGAATATTGGATAGTGGAAATAGCGTATAAATTTCTTTGGCAGATTCTGTGAAGTAAAGTGATTAAAGCTATTTTAGCTTTTTGGCCACTGTGGTACAATACTGAATGCTGTCCCCAAAAACTGAGCTATTTGTCAAGTATTTCAAGTATTCCTTTCTCTTGTAGGTACCTTGAAATGGAATGGGAAGCTAAGCGAAAAACACATCGGGAATTCAGTAAATCAACAATGATTGACCTGTGTCCCAGAGTGCCTAAACAAGATAACAGCAGCGATTGTGGGGTCTATTTGCTGCAATATGTGGAAAGCTTTCTCCAGGTACAAATGGAAACTACCTTCCCCTTTCCACCAAATTACCTTAAACACCAGAAACATATTTCTGAAGGAAATAACCAGATACAAAAGTGTGTGATACACAGTGTTAAAAGTGTCAAAGCCATTTGAAGAGGAAGAGATTAAACCCATTCTTCACATGGTGGCTGGGGTCTTCATATCTGGTTTCTCACCTGTCTGTCAGCAAACATTTCTGACCTTGTAGTTTAATGTTGCTTTTACAATGATGCATTCCATATCCCTAAGTATTTGGGTGTATTTGGAGGCTGTTTCATGTACATATTGCTGCCCTACGGATGTTACAAAAGTATCTCTTCTTTGCATCAGTTCTTGTAGCATCTAAAACTTCGGTCAGCTTGTGCCTTGACTTTTGAGTGGCTCTGCAGGCAGCAGCTTCTGCAGAGAGAGTGAGGAGGGGATTCTTAAAAGGGAATGCACAGACCTAAGGGAGCCTTTCTTTTTGCTCAGCACATACCTTTAGATCATGGGGATGTTGTGAGATACCTCATGTGGTATCTCACAACAGTGGATAAATAGAGACTCTTCAGAAAGGACAGGCAGGGAAGAAAAGGAGGTAGAGTTGCCCTTGATGTGAGAGCAGCTGGAATGCATGAATCTCTGCCTAGGGCTGGATGAGAAGCCATCTGAGAGTTTATGGGTAGTGACTAAAGAGCAGGCTAATATGGGTGACATAGTAGTGGGCATCTGCTGTGGGCCACCTGATCAAGAAGTGGAACAGGTGTTTACCATGAGTAACTTTTGGTAAGGGTATGTATTTATGTGATTCTGATGGAGGAACTGGAATTTGACTTTGAAACCTGTCATACTCCTATGGGAATTTGTTTGTGCCTCCTTGGTCTCAGCAGCAGTGGAAAAGTTTGAAATTCTTTTTGAAGGTTGCTTTGGGAAATTCATACCATCCTTTTTCTTTCACCAGAACCCCATAGTTAACTTTGAAGAGCCATTGCATCTGGAGAATTGGTTTCCTCGTCAGCTGATCAGAAACAAAAGAGAAGAAATTCGTGACCTGATCTTGCAATTGCACTTTCAACAGCATAGTGGCAGCAGCAGCTAATAAATCTAATAAGGCAGACCTGGTAAAGGACATTGCTGTATAAAGTAACTGGAACTCTGCCTAGCAGCACTTGATCTCTCCCTGCCTTGCAAGGAACACAAAAAAACCCCAGAAGTATTTTTTGTTCAGCATGTATTTATTTAAAGATATTTTTTTCAATGGTGTTGTGTGGTCTTAGAATGCTGGGAGGGGGGAAGGGAGGAGGTTGTAGCTAAGAGTGTAAATATAAGTTAAAGCTAATGCACATGGATTGCTAGTTGAACTTTTGTTTGGCATATAAAAACTGCTTACAGGTATGTGCCACAAGGATATAAAAATACTTTCATCTTTTGGAGCCTCTTCTTTATAATTCTACATAAACATGAATGGTATATAAACATGGAGTTGGCCCTGACGACAGGATTTTGATCCTATATGTGTCTTTTGATTTTGCAACTGATACAAATAGAGTGAATACTATGTATTGTTTTAATTTAAGGATGTAATATTGACTCTCTTTAGAGATTTATGTTTTTGTTTTGTTTCGGATTATATACAGACATAATCTGCATGTGTCAGAAAATGAGTTTTTGTTATATTTTTTATAAGCATTATTTCCCTCCCTGTCATTTTCTTCATAAAAATGAGTTTCCAGGAGTGGAAGACATTTACTTGAGAGTGACTGTTGAAATACTCTAGAGTGGATTTTTTTAAGTATTTTTAATTATTTTTTTTCTTATCAAATTTCAGAAGACAACTTGCTCGCAAAGTACATGCCAATACAGTATGTGAAAGCAGTAGATTTTTAATGCTGTTCACCTGTTTTTTGGAAATAATTTCTACAAATCTTATAGCATCACCTGCATTAGCAAGGCAAGCAGGCTGTGGCTTAACAGCCTCAAAAGTCTGAGGGGTTTTACTGAAAATTAGGGTCAATATATGTGTGTGATATGTCTTTAAGATATGTGATTTACATATAAGACAAACAGGATTTACACTTAGCTTAAGAGAACTGCATAAAGATGCCTGAATATTGAGCGCCTGAACTCAGACTTGATTGGATAAACTAGCACAAGTTTATCAGTCTGCCTACATATTTATGTAGTTTTTCCTCAAATAGCAATCACATAAAATTTCAGTAACATTTTGATGTGCACACTTTTTTCTGTACTTACTGCACGATAGAAGGTGATTGTTTTTAGAGGACGTTTTCTACTGTTCCCCACTATAAGTTTAAGTGTCATCTCACCCTTCAGAAGGTGTGCCAGATAACCACCAAAGCCACCTGTGTCATGAAATAATCTACAAAAGCAGAGCTCTTAAAGCTGGAAGTAGGATAGGGAGTTAAAATAAAAATTGAGGGCAACCCAAAGATATGAAGATTTTTATATCACTGCAGAATTCTCAGGGCCCCTTCCCTCAAAACAACTCTGAAACTGAGCATTTGGAAAAGCCAGTTATTACTTCAGGTCCTGTACAGTCATCCAACACCTCCCCTACACCCCCTTATTGTTTCTCAAACCAGGAAGTATTCTTGCTGGAGCAGAGAGGCAATTTGAAAACAAAGCAATTTGCTGAACGCAGTTACCTTCTGTATAGCTGTGAGCAGCCTAGTACAATTACTATTTGTTTTTTGTCTTTGTTTCTGCTTTAATTCTGTAATGTGTCACTACCCGTCCTCCCCTCCACCCCCAAACATCTCTCACTCTCATCACGGTGTTTGTGTTGTTCAGTACCAAAATCACAACACCAGCATTACTTACAAGGGTGATGTATGTATTTATTGTAAAACAAATGAAAGATAAAATGCAGAAATACGTGCCCTTTTTTAATTGATGAATATTTTCAGTGTTTCCTTATAAAAAATAGTTTGGGCTTTTTCTTATGGTAAGGTTAGCTTTTATCATCAAGTGAGACTTGTTCTCTTTCAGGTTGACTGGTTTATAAATGTTTAAAAGCAAAAGTAATGTTTAAAATTTTCTAAATTCATTTTATAACATGAAAGGATTGCCTTTTTAGATTTGCTACATGCGTGCTACAAGAATGCCAATGCATTTGATATTAAAATTATCTCCAGAAGTTGCTGAATGTGATTGTTCTTTTCCCAGCTGCCACAAATAACCCATGAGCTAAGTGAAAGATAGGCCGTCTTGCTACTTTTAAGGTATATGCACAGGATGGGTCCCTGAACCCCAGTGTGTCTCAAAGGAATTGTGGGACCACCCAGCCTGTTCCAGCCATTTGCATTTACCAGGAACGTGGTAAATGCTGGGAAGTGTCTGTGGAAGAAGTTACACTCCAGGTATTTTAGTGCTTCCTTTTTATTTGCTAACATGCCCCAAAGTTAAGTTTTATCATGTGTAAGGCACCAGACTGGCTCAGGGACCTTTTTGCACAACCCCTGCGTTTCCATTGCCTGTATTAACCCCTGTTTAACTGAAATGGTGGAGTGACATGATACTTCAAAGCAAACCAATCTTAGTAAGACTCTTTATCCTAAGCTGTGTAATTTTGGTTTCAAGGCAGTCTATTGTATCCGTCCAAAGTGTTAAATGTAGCTGTCAGTTTCATTCTTCTACATCCTGCCTTCGTGGGAACAGAAAGTGGCTTCCATGAAGAAATCTGAGTCATGGAGATCCATTTAAGGTATTATTGGCAAGCACAACACAAGATCTTTCAGGAAAAATATTTTTAAAACCCTAGATTTCATCAAGAACTGGTGAAGTGAACTTGCAAGTGTGATTTTTATTTTTTTTTTATTTTTTTTTTCAATTTATTTCTTTTAAAGCATCCAGGGACTACTGTGTTTTTCCTCTGGAATTGCGGGTATAGATTCATTGCAGTCCATCTGTGCTTTTATGGTATTCACCTCCTAGAATTTGACCCTGAGATGAGCTTGCAGTAATCAGTAAATACTACCTTACAACATAATAAAAGCTTGAAGACCACAGTATTAACCCTTTTATCTTGGTTATGGTAAAGAAGCAGAATATTGCTTCTGACAACCCCCCTACCTGCCCCTCCCCCCTCTCTCCTCCCAAAAAAGACAACTGTTTTCCAGATGGAAAAGCAGGAATGAGACTTGAGAGGTCTCAGTATTGAAAATGTGTCAAATAAAACCAAGATTAAGCAATAATTCTGTTCAACCAAATTGAAACTGGAAATACTGTTCAAAGATGAAGCACAGACACTGGGATCGTCTTTGACCCTTGAAAAAGGTAAGATATTTCTGATCAACAGTTCAGAAAAGGAGGAATACTGGGAATAGGTTTACCTTACACAGTAGATAATGAAGTATGAGATGAATTTGATTGACCTCTCTTCCTAATTTTTCTGCTCCAAATACTTTACAATACTACACAATGGAAGAAATGTCAGTACGACAGGTTCTGGGGAGCTTAATCTGGTCAGCTGGAGGGTTCAACAGACTCAAAACATGTTTATTCTTGAGAAGTGGTTCACCAGAGAACTCTCCAAGAGCACAGGCAAAAAGTGGTGGTAAAATCCTTGGCAACAGCAGCCACAGAAACTGAACAAGTGAAGAGGTTTTGTCTAACATAATTGTCTCAGCTAAACTGATTAGGAATTTTGTTGGTGAATCCTATCAAGATACCATAAAATCAGTTGCTATATCCAGTCACAGGATGCAATTTATAATCTTGATATTAAACCACCACAGGAGTTTGGAAATAAGAGTCTACCATGATGTGGTTCTTTATTATAGGCATTTTCATTGAAGTATACCTTTATTTTGTATTTTGTAGTTACAGGTGAGTGGATTTATAATTTTGAATAAATTGCATTTGAACAACAAGGACGTTATTTGGAACAGGATGTGTACTGTAGCAAAATTTCAGTGAGCATTACCCTGTAGAGAACTATAATTCAGCTAATCACATTTGCTATATGAAAGTATTTCTTCTCAGAAATACAAACTGTCAGAAAACTGTCTTTATTTTTGGAGGTATTGGGGTGACCTTGGCCTGTTGCATCACTAGAATTACACTTCCCTTTTTTCTCATTCACCAAGAATATGCTTTTTCTGAATAGTTTTGAACAGATACAACTTGGCTACTGGAAATGAAGGATTACACATTTTCTGGTACAAGGTGTTACTATAAAAGGCTGTAGTCAAATCAAGGAAGGAGTTAATTTTTCATGGTTATTTTGGAAATCTATTGCAAGAGTTATGTTGCTTGCTTTACAGAACTTTAAATGATGATTGTACTTTTAGTTATGCCTTTTGCCAATGTAAATGTAGGAGATTTTGAGCTGTTGCAAATTTACATTTCAGTGCTGAAATCAGTTGAATTTAAAATTGATAGCTTGAACTAGTATTAAAACTGAATTAAAATTTTAAAAATATTTGATCATGCAGAAGCTGACATAGCAATACTATAGAAAACAAATTTTGACAGAGATATAAAGGCGTTGTTTTTTATACCATTCACATTCTCAATGCCTTTGAGTACTTTGCTGATGAAAGAAACAGCAGTGCTATAAGTCTGAAAACTCTCCAGAGAAGCTTTTAATTGGGTTTTATACTTTTACTGAAGTAGGTGTATTCTGAGAATTGTCTGTAAAAGGATTAGTTGTTGTGTTCTGGGCACCATTGCAAGGCTGGTCCATGCTGTTCAATTTTCAGCTCCAGTGTGGTGACTGCATTTGATGGTGCTGCCAGCATCTTAGTCAGCTTGACAGAGACAGAATAACTCAACAGTGATGATTTGATAGATCAAAAATGTCTGATTCTAAGAAAACTGGGGGTGTTTGAGTAGCTCAGTGGTTAAACTGAAAGTGTAATATAAAAGGTTTGGGGGGGGACCCCAAATATGTTGGTGTTTTGAAAAATACCAGCTGGATTCTGTTTCATGTCAAAAGACAGAGCCCTAAAATCAAAGGTATTTTTATTTGATTCCTGTCAGTGTCATGTATATATAATACTGATAATTCCTGATATGTGAGTTCCTGGGAGCGCAGAAGAGCAGCTGGAAGAGAGGAGTGAGCACTGTATGCTCACTATACGCTCTGTATAAAAGCTCTGCAGACATACCTGGGAAACCTTGGGAATCCAGCTTTGAAATGCTTACACAAAAGTACTACCAAAAATAGTCACTTCAGACAAAACAGCAGTTTGTTCAGATTGATCTGAACACAGTAACCAGCAAGTCCTGAGTACCACCACCCAGGAGACAGCTCTGGAGCTCTCCTAGTCGTCTGAATACAGTCTGCCATTGCAGGACAGCTTCCGTACACGTTTCCACAAGGACCTGACCCTGGACAGGAGGTGCTACTGAGAGTGCTACTGCTTTCCCGTACTCTCTCCTTTCTGTCGTTGTCCTTAGCTGATGATCTCTTCAGGTGTCTACACTAATTTGTTCCTACTGCTTGTGTCAGGTAATACCTGAACAGAGATGAAAGAATCACAACCTGCCCTGGCTTTATCTTTGGAGGAAGCACTGCTTTTGGGATGCAAGGGATAGTGGTGTAACAGCACAAGACTTTCTGCTTTAGCACAAGCTCGGGCAGCAGCCCTGTCACCAGAAGAAACAGCCCTGCAGAAAGGTTGCTTCAGTGCTTACACATGCAGTTGTGTTTAAGCGAGCCATACATTTATGCATGTATATGTATTTGTACATGCAGAAGATAAGGCACGCTGGGACCTTCCAGTGGAGACTGGTGTGCTCCCTCTGATGTTTTGTGGTCAACAGGGTTTTAAAAAAAAAGGCAGAAATTGAAAGGCCAATGAAAAAACGTGGTTAATTGGATGTGAAAGGTGCTGTCCTTGTTTGGACTGTCTGTTAATGGTATGACAAGCTCTGGTAAAGAGCTTAGCTGGCCAGATTAAAATTAAAAAATTGTGTCAGTCCATCTGCTAGCTCCAAGGAGTTTACTTTGATCACCTTTTCTTGTTTCTTCACTGAAGCGGAATACTGTCTTTGAAAAGAACATTCCCAGGATGTCTTGGTTGACTTGTTTTACCTAATGTTTTCTCCAAAGATAATAATATGTGACGTCAAGACATTTTCAAGAAGGGCAATGCTCTCGGTTGGTTCAAGGCTACCTTAAAGACAACAGCTCTTTTGCTAGAAGGGATTCTTCTTTTTTTCCTTTTTTTTGTACACAAAGAAGTATGTTTGGCTTAATTTGGAAAATCTTTCTTTGCCTTCCGGGAATGATTAACACCGATCTTCAAATAGTTGCAGGTAATGCAGAAGTTTTACTTATATACTTGTTTTCAAAGTTTACCTATGGCAGTGTGTAGAATTAGAAATATCTCTCTGCTTTAATTATAACAAAGCGGGCTAATACAGAGAAATGTTTGGTCAAATCTCTGCCTTGATAGCAGTGTAAATATGGAATACTTAGAGTGATTTCTAGGAGGTGTTACTGCACATTTGTGTTGAGTGTAGCATGTAACGTAAAGGAGGCAATTTTCCAGTTTTGGGAGATGTTAAGCACTGGTAGTTTTTTTCTTATTGATTTTTTTATTAGATCTTAAAGTAAGGTTCTGTCTTCTGCTTATGGATACTGAATATGTGTCAGTTTAAGTAAAGATTGGAGGGTTGCCTTACTGACCATTTTTGATGTTCTTTTCTCCCTCTGATGTACCATCTGGTGGTGATCTGCACTAGAGCTGACTATTAATATAACATAAAAATAATCACGCTCTTCATCTTTAACTCATAGAGGTCAAATGTGCTACTGACTTTGAAGCTGCAGAATAAACTCATAATCTGTGGGACGAAAAATGCTGTAGAGTTATTACTGCTCTTTCTCTAATAATTGATTTCTTGTGATTCTTTTTTAGGCATGTTTTCTGGGGAAAAGGTTTAAAGAGGTTGAATTAAATAATTTCAGATCAGTTGACTGTGAAGGATAGAGAACTAGACTGTCAGAGTGAATCCCAATGTACACATTCTGTCCTCAGCTGTTTCCACAAGTTTCATCTGGAATGATGTGGAATGACTAGGATAAGGGGAAATTAAATAACAAAACAAAACAAAAACAAAACAAAAAACCCAAACAACCAAACAACAAAACAAAACAAAAACCAAACAAACAGAAAAAAACCCATATCAACCAAACCCCTAAAGCTGATGAGCTCTTTTATTCCTTTTTTTCCTCTGCTTTAGCTGAGTAGGGACCTATCTCACAACAGTGAAAGGTGTACTTGCTAGCTGTCCATTCAAGAAGCTTTTCTTTTTGCAAGGGATATAAATGTTTCCTGTGGAAAGAAAGTATGGAATAAAAGTAGTTCTTAATTAATGACTTATTTAATTTCTGGTCCTGAAAGCTTCTAAATACATTTTTATTCCCAAATATAATCCTCTTGACCTAACCAAGCCAAATCACAGAAGGGAAGTTAAACACAAAGCATTAGAATTCAAAGGGTTAGAGCTTTAGGCGTGTAACCATTTGATGGTATGCTGTAAAGAGCTTAAGGTTGTTTATAATAGTACAGTCATACAGACAGGTTCTGTTAACAGAAAAAAACACAGTTTTGTCCTTCAGGGACCATAGAAATGGCATGAAGATATCTTATGATTTCATCATTATCTGAGAAACTTATCTGTGGTTTTAATTTTACAGCAAAAGTTTATTCAGCTACAGGAGGACAGGCTAAAGGTGTTTCACCAACCCCTGAGCTCAGTGGCTGGCAGTTGGCAAACCCTTCTCTGCCTCCTGAGTTGAAAAAGCCCAGTGGCATCATGGAGCCTGAACAGTTCAACAGGCATTTGCTGTTACGAAGGAAGAGATCCATTCTGTTTCCCAGTGGAGTTAAGATCTGCCCTGATGAATCTGTTGAGCAGGCTATTGCCAACCACCTGAAATATTTCAGGCTCAGAGGTAAGTGACTGTAAATCCCATGGATGTAAAGAACATTTATTTATTTAAAAAAAAATAGATTAAGCTTTTAAACACAGTAAATACCAGGCCATAGGAAATACATCATTACCTGAGAAATTTAGTTTTCTGTGGTAATCTTCCTTAAGAGAGCTGTTCTGAGCTAAAAACCCACCTCTGGTTACACTCATATATAAGAATTCTGGGTCCCTGGAACCACAGTGTTTAATAAACTAATCCTTTCTCACAAAACAATATGAATGCTGAGGAAAACAGGGTTTTAGCAGGTTATTCAGGCTGGCTAAATGACTGTTTTTATTGAGTATTCTTCAGGTGCTAGCAGAATTCACTGAGGAATGAGTCAGAAGAGTCAAACCTGAGACACTGGTATATTAACCATGTGACTTTTGACTATGGCTGGTCACACAAAGCGTGGTATGTTCTGTCTAGAAAGCCAATCTGTGTGTATCAGGCTGTAGTGTAATAGACAAGAAACCGCTCATTTAACATGCGGAAGCTGGACAAAACTTTCCCTGAAAAGTTGAAATATTCTTTCACTTGATGAAATACTACAGCAATATGATGTATCTCAAACCCTTCTAGCTGACAGCACTGGAATGGGGTGTCACAGTCATGCAGTACCTTCTGGTATTTGTGTGTCTTTGTATTGTAGCATTCAAAAAGTTTGTAGTATCTTAACATTTGTATGTAACTGGCAAAATGGCAAAGAGGTGCCGTCACAGGAGAAGGAAAGATGTTCAGAGACTCATTTTTAGTGAGACTTGATGACCTATAGAAGAAACTCTCACTGGTAACAGTTTATTCACTTAGAGAAGTGAAAAACAATTAGAAGCAGGAGTTGCTTAGTGTCTGCATAAAAGTAAACATAAAGAATATACTTGGAGGATGAAGTGGAATTATATGAGATTAGAGCCTCATTCAAATATGAATTATGCCCAGCTGGCAAGGGATGTTGGCACTGATGATCATGCTGGCAGTTTGACAGGCTTTGCTAGCTTCCTCTTTATTTCCACCCAATAGCACTCAATTATTCTTTGTTTTGCTCCCACTTAATCCATACATACTGTGTGCTTTAACTGCAATCACCCCTCAGTTGTCCATGATATTGGCACATAAGGACAATATCAAGTAAGCGAAAGTGTGGTAATAATAAAAATAAATAATAAATAATAATAAAGAAGAAAAATCTGTAAATTATGTTGTAAAAGTGTATATAGGACTGAATGATCCTAGGCTGAACCAAAAATCCGCCTAGTCCATCTGCTTCCTTACTGGACTTAACAGCTTTCACAATCCACAAGGATTTCTTGAGCCCAGATGCCATGACAACCCTAAGCACTTTGAACTTAAAACTTTTGGAAAAGATATTTGCAAGTAGCACAGGTGACCTTAAGTAGCAGCTGGTTGAGCAAGATCTGGTTCAAGCAACTTCTGATCTTCATTTTGATAGGAGCAACACTCTGCACCATGTTTGGGGGTGTCTAGTTAGTCACATCCTGAGCAAATACACCTGAGGTACGTGAGAGTTGATGTGCTGTGTGACAGGTTGGTGTGGCAAGGTTTTGATAGAAGGAGGCTTCTCTGAAAGTTGCCAGAAGCTTCCTCCATGTCCAATAGAGGCAATGCCAGCAGGCTCCAAGACAGACATGCTGCTGGCCAAGGCCGATCCCATCAGCTACAGTGGCAACGCCTCTGGAGTAACATATCTAAGAAAGGGGAAAAGTTGCTGCAGAACAGCAATTGCAGTTGAAGAGAATGGTGAGAATACGTGAGAGAAACAGCTCTGCAGACAATCAAGGTCAGTGCAGAAGAAGGAGGAGGAGGTTCTCCAAGCACTGGCACAGAGAGTCCCCTGCAGCCTGTGGTGCAGACCATGGGGAGGCAGGATGTGGCCCTGCAGCCCATGGAGATCCACAGGGGAGCAGAGATCCACCTGCAACCCATGCAGGACCACACACCATAGCAGATGGCTTCCTGAGAGAGGGTGTGACCCTGTGGGAAGCCCAAGCTGGAGCAGGTTTGCTGGCAGGACTTGTAACCCTGCAAGGGACCCACACTGGAGCAGCCTGTTCCTGAAGGACTGTACCCCATGGAAGGAACATACTCTGGAGCAGTATGTGAAGAACTGTGGTCTGTGGGAAGGACTCACATTGGAGAAGTTCATGGACTGTCTCCTGTGGGTGGAACCCCACGCTGGAGTAGGGGAAGAGTGTGAGGAGTCCTCCCCATGAGGAGGAAGGAGTGGTAGAGATAGCTGAGATGAATTGATCACAACCCCAGTCCCTCACCCCCCTCACCACTGTGTACCTCACTGCAGATGAGGAGTTAAAGAAAACCAGAAGTGAAGTTAAGCCTGGGAAGAAGGCAGAGGTGGGGGGAAGGTGTTTCAGGGTTTGGTTTCATTTCTCGTTGTGCTACTCAGATTTGAGTGGTAATAAATAAAACAAATATCTCCAAGTTGAGCCTGTCTTGCCCATAACAGTAACTGGTGACTTATCTCTCCCTGTCCTTTTCTTGACTCACAAACCTTTTTTTATATTTTCTCTCCTCTGCCTGACTGTGCAGGGGAGTGATAGTGCAGGTTTGGTGGGCACCTGGTGTCCAGCCGGGGTCAACCCACCACATGTGGTACTTTCATTCACAGTAAAACTGTTTCTTGCATATTACTGAATTATATACAATGTTTTTACCAGCTAGCTGAATCATCACAGTCCTCTGTCAACAAAGTAGTCCTAGGAAAGACTGGTGTCACTGTTCAGCACTCAGAAACCAGCTAGTGTCAGTGACTAGTAAAATAACTGACCACAAGGGGAATAAATATGCATGTACGCAAAATCTACTGATTTTTCAATCCCAGTGTGTATTTTTAGAATTGTCTTTTTAGTCTGTATCTGTTCAAGTAAGAAATTACTTCAATCTCCCATACTTTCTCCGGAAAGGATGGTTTCAATACAGTCTATTCTTTCTTTGGTTTGGTTTTACTGTCAGCAATAAACAGTGGCACTACCGTGGAAGGAAAGGTCGATTTGCTATTTTGCTGTGAGATCTTGTTAGAAAAGCAGAAAAGGTTTGCATGTGCCGATTATCCAGATTTTGTTTGTTCTGTCTATGTCTACCTTAGAAGGAAACAGGTGGGAATATAATTATCTACCTGTAGGTCCTAGCTTTATTTACTTTTGCTAGCTGGCAAAAGCCTCTGTAAGTATCAGAGACTGAGAGATGAGCATTTCTGTCACAGGCTTTAAGGCAGTGCTTATGACATATTGCTGTAGGCTTAACAGCTTTTTTTTTTTTTTTTCTGACTACAACATCTGGATTTCAGATAGTGAGTGGGTTGTGTATGGTAATATCTATTATGATATCTATAATGATGTTCTTTGCTGCTGACAGGGAAATGGTAGCCAGAGCCCCAGTTAAATAACATTTATTATACAAAAAATAGCCATACCCATTCAGACCAAAAATCCGTCATGACCAGTCACCTTATGTAGACAATTCAGTGAACTGTCCATTCCCTATTGTGTAAATTCCTGGTAGATGGCTGAGGATTATACTAAACTTAGAAAGTGAATTAGCAGGTTAAACAGAAACAATATAAAGATTACAAAATAGCATGACTTGTACTGTTTCCCTGTCCCATGCCTGTTAATTGGGGAAAACAGAGGCTGCTGGATTCTGCTGGATTTTAACACTGTGGTTCAGGGTAATACTGTTTCTCTTTGCCACTTCTGAGATGTAATTACTCTGGTGGCTACCTTTCCTAAATTCTGCTAGCTACTCTTCCTACTGTAACCCTCTCTCTTAAACTATTCAATGTACGTTTGTGAGGGAGTTCATCTTTTCACATGAGAAGATCAGATAGTCTCTCTGCCAGAACTGTTTTTGTCAGCCAGAGCTTCAGATAAAGTTGAACATCTAAGAATAGCTTTCGAAGATACTGACCAAACAAGGAAATAGAGGGCATTGTAGTGTGTCATAGCTGATGAGACACGAGGCATTTTTGAACTTTGAAAAGAGTAAAAGCTGTTTGTCAGGAATTAAATGCTACGTATGATTATAATCCCTAAATTTGGTCATCTTGGGTGTAGCAGTATGCTTGCTTACCTTCCCATTTCTTGGGTTCCTTCAAATCTGTTTACTGAAGCATTAGAAATAATGTTATCTTCTGCACATGGACAGAGTAAAGAGTGAAGTTTCCATTTGATACTGAAATCCTAAATGTTATAGATTATTCAGATCTTGCTAATAATGATAAAAGCAAATAGTCAAAAATCATTAAAAGTACCTGGCTAAAACAAAAAAAAATTAGTGAATAAAGCATCTGGCTGAGCGAGCCTTTTCTCCCTGTTTTCCCCTCATCCCTGGCACATTTTATGCATAGCTTGTACTCTGCAATAAATTTCTGAAGTTTATTTGTAGAAGGACTAATTCAGTCTCCCTCTGCATTTGAATTTTTAGATGTCAGCATATGCTTCTAAGAAGCTTGACTTTTTCCATGAAGAACACTCCTTTGTTGTTACTGAAATATTATTGGTGAAAATAGTTTGTAAGCTAGAGATTAGTGTGTTAGCGTTCAAAGAAAAAAATCTTTCATGTGGATTAGCTAATTCACATTCAAGTCCTTGCCAGTTTAATATCCTGATGGGTTTTAGAAATTGTTTAAGGGTTACTGTGTTATAGGCCATAAAAAGTAGCATTTCAGCAATAGATGAGTCATTTCTCTGCCTGTGTGTAATAATTTGTTTAACAAGTGCTAATGAAGTCTTTGTAGGGAAGATCTCTTAGGAGGTGTCCGTCACTTCAGTCTTTATCAAATCCCTCTGCAATTAAGCCATTCCGTTGTGCAGAAATTGTTAGAGAGGAGAAGCTGTTGGTCTCATGTTGCCTCAAAATAGAATTTTCAGCCTGATTCAGTGCTCCTAGCCACCATACACGATTCAACTCTTAAGAAGCACTAATGAGATTTAACTTGGATTACATTC